GTGACCTCACAGCGCAAGTATGTGGGACAACCTCTGGCAAAGGGCCCTTCTGCTTTCTATAGGTTGCTTTCTGAATCCAATTCTGTAAGTAAATGAGGAGGTCTGAGCAGTGAATCTGTTTAAATAGGTATCAGCTAACAAAGGCCTGCTGCACAGAGCATCTTTACGGCCTAACGTACTGTGGAGGAGTATCAGAACTAAATGTATAGATTTTTACAGCCAAAGAGCTGTAGAACTACTGGGTCAGGGGGTTGAGGGGGGACAATGAGGGGCTGAGGGGGGACGGTGAGGGACTGACGGGGGACAATGAGGGGCTGAGGCACTGAGGGGCTCTTTTCAGTGGTGCTCAGCAACAGGACAAGGAGCAATGGCTATAAACTAAAACCACAAGAAGTCCCACCTCAACATGAGGATGAATTTCTTCACATTGCGGGTGGCAGAGCCCTACAGCAGCTGCCCGGGGAAGTCGTGGAGTTTCCTCCTCTTGGAGACATTCCAAACCTACCTGGACGTGTTCCTGTGTCACCTGCTCCTGATGCATCTGCCTGGGCAGGGGGGATGAACTGGATGATTTCCAGAGGTCCCTTCCAACCCTAACAACTTCTGTGAGCTGGGCTGTGAAGGAAGGGGCGGCGAGGGGCTGCGGGACCGAGGTGTGGTGGTGAGGAGCTGAGGGAGGGAACAGTGAGGGATCGAGACCGCTGAGACAGGAGGGCGATGGGAGGGCGCTGAGGGGCTGAGGCGGGCTGAGGGGCTGAGAGGAGGCGGTGAGAGTCCGAGGCAGACTGAACTGAGGGGGCGAGCCGAGGTGCTGAGGCGGGGCCGCGGCGGGAGGGGCGCCGAGGGTCGGCGAAAGGCCGAGGCGGCTGAAGAGACCGAGGGACTGAGGCGGCCGCAGGCTCTGAGGGGCTGATGGGGAGGCTCTGAAGGACCGAGGCGCACTGAGAGCTTCAGGGACTGAGGCGGGATGGGCGACGGTGAGGGGTTGAGGCAGAATGAACCGCCGAGGGACTGAGGCGAACTCGTGGACCGAGGCGGGACACTGAGGGAGGGCAGTGAATTAGACGAGGCACTGAGGGACCGAGGCGGGACACTGAGGGAGCACAGTGATTAGATGAGGCACTGAGGGACCGAGGCTGCTCGATGAGGCACCGGGGCGGGTCGGTGCTTCGCCGAGGGGCGGAGGCGCTGAGGGCGCGCCCCCTCCCCGCCCCTCGCCCGCTCCCGCCGCCTCTCGCGAGGCCGCCCCCCCCCCTCCCCTCCCTCCCTGCCCGCGCGTCACCGGCGGAGCGGACGGGGACAACATGGCGGAGCGGCGGCGGCACAGGAAGCGCGTCCAGGTACCGGCGGCTCCCCCTGCTCCCCACCCCTCCGCCCCCACCGGGCCCCGCGCGGCACCCCCCGCTCCCCGTCCCCCGGGGCGGCTTTCCCCCCGCGCCCCCGCGGCCTCCCCGCTTGCCAGGCGGCGGCCCGCGGGGAGGGAGGGGAGCGCCCCGCTCTCGGGGCACCGGGGGCGCCTCAGGCCGCGGGGAGAGCCCGGGCTGGCACGGGGCGGGCGGGTTTCCCCTCAGAATTTTCTGGCAAATCGTTAAACTTGTGCAAACAGAGCGCATGTCGAGGGGCTGAGGGGCGGCCGGCGGTGCCCCCCCCCCCCCCCCCCCCCCCCCACCCCGGCACATCCGAGGCGCCTCCACTTCATCCCCCCTGCGGTCCGAGCCGTCAAAAGTTCTTCGCCTCTCGCTGACCAAAGAGAGAGATTTCGGGCTGTTCCCCGTTTACAATCGCCGTGGTACGCTCAGGATCGCACCCGTTAGCATCGTGAACAATAGCTTGGTGCGGGTCACACCAAAACACCCGGGAGCTGCCCCTTCACCCGGCGCGTCCGGCCCGGGCTTCGTAAGCGAAAGGCGTGGGACAGATGGTAAAAGCATCTTCAAAAAGCAAACGTGCCCCAGCCAGGAAATGATGCGGTAAAGGAAAGGAAATTAGCGTCTGGAAAACATAAACAAACAGGCGCATCTAAAAATAGACCTAATCAGCTTTGAGATCGCGTTAAAATGCGGTGATAATTGTGCGGTGGCACTCACTGAGAGGCTGCCGTGGTGCTTTCACTCACCTGGAAGTCTGGTTTGGCAACAGGGAGTTTGACAGTGTTTTTAACGCGTGTGCTGGGCACGGTTGCAGTATCAGTGACTGTAACGCTTATTGCTGTTGTGTATTATCAACACTAAGCCTAGACGGTGTTTGTTTGGGATTTATTGCTCTGCTGTAAGAGCAGATAACATTGACAGAGATCACAGAGCCGTTCAGCAGTGTGCACTTCATACCTCACCCTTCTGCTTGGTTGCCCTCTCTCCTTTCTCATCTTTCCCCTTCCCAGCCCACTTTGCCTTCCCCCAAGAAAATGGGAGATCTGCCCACACTTGCAGTGGTTCCTTTTTTTCCTTTTAATTCAAATTACGGGGGCAGGGGGAGAAAGGCGAGGAGTAATTAATCAAAATCTTGTTAAACAAGCCTTATCCATCACAGCATTCAATGAATTATTGTAAAACATTACAGAATTATTCTCTTCTCACGATTGTTATAGACTGTCCCTTTCCAAGGATGACGACAGCTCAATAAAGCATCCATCAAACCCAATTTAAATGCAGTTTAATGTTTTGTGTAACACCCAGGGCTGTGGTCTAGCAGGCAGTTAAGCACATACTTAATTTCCAGCCTGTAAAAGTATTTCCCAGATTGTTAGTAATTAAATCGATGCCTGGGTGTTAAAACTTAAGGTCGTGGCCTAAATTTGTGATACAATTATGGAGATAAATGTGGATTTTGGTGGGTTCCCAGTGTATGTCAGCAACAATGGGAAGACAAGACCCTGAACAAAGAATACTGGTGAATGCCCAAGGGGTGTTCTTAATTGGTCAGTGAATAAAACAACACATATTTTTCTTGGTAGTTGGTTTGGGTTCTTTTTTTAAGCTTTTTGAACTTTATTGGTGTAGTTACAGCATAAGTATCACGTTTTCAGGCTGGACGTTTCTTCTTATAAAATGAAGCATGGGATTTTTATTTGTAGATGCTTCAGCAGGGTGTACTTAATTTAGGGTGATGTGTGTCCCTTAATGAAGAGATTATTTATCACCCTGCAGGCACGTCTGACACCTGAACACCCCACTGGCACCAAGCAGAGCTGTATTTCTTGACAGGAGGGAGGCTCTGGGGGGCAGCTGGTGCATTTAGCTGTGCTGGAGGCTGACGTAATGGAGCTCATTTACAAATACCGTGTGCACAGAACCGGAGTTTGGAATAATTTTCGTAGGTTTTTATGGCTGCCATCGAGATTGGAATCATAATAGTTAGGTCAGAGAGCTAGAAAAAAGTCTGAAAAGACAATTCTGTCCAGCCTGCTCTGCGTGCTTCCCATCGGAAGGGGTCACAGGAAGGATGTGTTCTGTGGAATGTGTTTTCATTGAAAGGCAGCGTTGCCCAATCTGTGTTGCACAGCTTAGACCCTTCCTCTGGAAGTTGTGAAAGTTGCAAACATTTTAACTTCAAAAATTTGAACAAAGGTATTTCAGAGGTAAAACTTTCCGAGTGTCATTCCTGGTGGTGATTTGACTGTAATTAACAGAGAGATGGATGCAGTAGTGAAAGGAGACTGCTCTGTAGGATGCAGGTCACTCCCCCAGTGGCTCCCACAGGATTCAAGGCTGTTTGCTGTGTATGAAGGACTGACTGAAAGAACAACAGCATATGTTGTCTAATGGCTGCTTTAATATTTTTATTTTAGCCACATCCATCTCAAAAGATGGGAGATGGCTTTGAGTGCCTGTTACTCCAGCAACCTGAACAAAGCTGTTTCGTGTCTTGTTAAAAAACAAACCCCACAGTTGCATCCGTGTCCTGAAATATTCCCTTCGCCACAAACCCTTGGGCTCCGGTTGCTGCGCCCGGCGCTGGTCAGGGCACACGTGGCACTGCTGGCAGCTCTGCAGGGTGGCTGCTCAGCAAGCATTAAGGTTTCATTGCCTTGGCTGGGTTCCACCCTGCACACTTTGAGTCTCCCCACGTCAAGTTTGGGTTTGGTCCTCGCGTTTGCCTCACGCCGTGTCCCGCGCTCCAGAAATGTTCCTGCACGCAAACCCCACCCTGGGGACACAGCAGATGATCCTGGGGCAGTGTCTCACTGCAGGCTGGTGGCTGAGGTGGCATCAGTGACAGGTACTTTGCTTGTTGACTTTTTTCCCTCGATTGAAGCTCTGAGATTCTCCTGATGAAGGACATCTACTAATCATTAACTGTTGCAGCCAGCAGTTGTGTCCTGTTGGGATTTGGGCTCTGCTGGAAGGGAAAGGCAACAGCTGCATTGCTGCTCCTGTGCTACAGCTTTGTGTGAATGACTCTGGAAAGGATCTGCAGAAAGGACAGTGCAGTGGCTTTCTAGTAATGCAGATTTGCATCCAGCTTGCCTTATTTTCTCATAAACTCTAGTAAAGTTGAGTGGGATGATGACAAAGGAGAAAGGCTAAATAACCTGTTTGAAAGCTGAGTGGCATCAGGTGATAGAAGGGGAAAAAACAAGAGATCAAGGGGTCAAAAAGAGGTAGAAAAATAGGAATTAAAAGTAGCAACCTGACTTGTCATTAAAGCCAGAATCAGTTTTTTGGAAATTTTGAGTTATATTTTCGGAGGTGGGAAGGGAAAGGGAAGGGAAGGGAAAAGTTGAAACAGCTGGCCTGGGTTAGAAGGGGACTGAAGCTGGTGTGTTTTGGCTTCAGAGTGCTGTACATTGTTCCTTGGATGTGTCTGAGAACTCTCTACATTTACAGCTTTTGCTCAAAAAAAATTAGCAATGGTTGAAAAGAAAGAATGAAGAAAACAAATACTTGTATTTTTATAGGATATGAACTGGACAGAAAAACATCTGCTAATCTTTTTCTGTAAAGAAAAGTTAATGTTTTGTGGCCAGCACATGGCCGTGGTAATCCCGAAGAACTGGTTTCTCCACATGGCTCTGCCACAGTTTCCTTTCAGAGACCTGGGGCAATCCTTGTACTGGCCATCAGTGCAGGAGTCCAGCAATTTTAAATTTATTAGTCACTGGAGAAAACACAAATGGAGCCCTAAGAGCAAGCCCTAAGCCCCTGATGTGTTTGTTTCCCCCCTGCTCCTGGGTGTGTTTTGGACAAAGGATAAATGTCTCAGCAGAAGGATGAGCAGCACCCACTCCCCTGCCCAGAACATCCAGGCTAAGGTCCTGACAGTCAGCAGGGAAGGGGAAAAGATAATCCTGCAGCTCAGCCCAAGTTGAGATGTGCTCAGCCCATCTCCAGAGAAGAGAAAATGGAACCTGGCTTGGCACAGTGTCGATTTTGGTGTTGCCTCTCAGCTTGAACAACAGGCTGCGTATGATAAATGCGCTTTAAATTTCTTCTTCTCCCAATCTGAAAACTGTATAAACTATTAGGCTCGAGCAGCCTGCTGTAGGGGTGGTGTTCTGAAAATCTAACAGCAAAGAAATAAGCTAGATAATTGTTTTAGTGAAATAAAAGAATTTTGATGGCCCCTTTAAAACAGAGGAGCAGAAATCCTTGTGATGCCTTTGTCTGCACATGAAATAACTTGCCTTCTTAGTGACACTCATTATTTACTCTCTTCTGACTTTCCAGAAACCCTGTTTACATTACAAACCTGGGGAAGGAAATTGTTCTGTCCTGGGTCGTACCTGTCTTCTCACAGCTGTGATGCAAAGGGGGAATAAAATGAGTGAAGTGTCCAAAGCAGAAATGTCCTCTGGCCTTTTGTGTTCCATGGAATGCTCCAGGAGTAAGAAAGCCTGGACAACTCCTGCTTAGGTAGAGTTGAAGGGGAGAAGGAAGCTCGTGGACACACCAGTTTCTGTGGCTCAGTTCAGATGTTATCTGTGATGTGTACAGGCTGCAGTCCCAGCTGGGGGTTGAATTAATTAATGTAATTAATTAATTAATGTAATTAATTAATGTATTGGAGGCAGTGCAGAATGCACTGGGCTGTACTTTGATGTGGGAGATAATGGTAAATAACTGGATTAGGGTTTTCCCTTCAGTGGGTCTGGAACGTCCCTAGGCTTGAGAATCTCAATGTTTTATGAATTTATGTAGAGCAGAATTGTGATAGAGAATTATTCTGTGAAACGTCAGTGCATTTCTGGTAAGTCACTGGGCTGGGCACTGCTTTTCCTGTCTGCAGGTGGAGTTCTTCTGTCTAGACAAATAAGAAGTTTGGGTTGATTTTATTTTTAATGGCATTCTCCCAGAGTTTGTAACTTAGCAGTAAACCTTTAAATTTTACATTTTGTCTGGTGTCAACGTGCATTTTTCGATATCTAAAACTAAAGTAGATCCAATAGTCTAAAACAAAATCTAGAGCAGAAGTATTTGGAAGTTTGACACTATTTTTTATAACTTTAAAACATTTTAATCCTAGAATTTTAAGTAAGACATCTTGAACATTCTAGAAATAGATTACTTGAGATGTTTCCTGACTCTGTGTCTTTCCTATGAAAGCAAACTTTAAAGAGCAAGAAGTTTTCGTATTCCTTTTTAAGACTGTGTTACCTGATTTAAAGCTTTATAATTTTTTCAGAACTCCCCCTTGATTAATTGTATAATCTTTTCCCAAATGCCTAAGGAGGCTTAAAGTGCCTGGATCGAGGCGGTTTTTACAAGTGAAACAAAGTTTGGTTGAGCTGCAACTTTGTGGCCAGGATTGTGAACTTTGGGTGATTACACCTGATGAGGAAACACAATATTATCTTCTGTCAGTCAGGTGGTTCAGTATTTTAGCAGAAGCCTGGCTCTGCAAACAAAGGGATGAAAATAGGATGAAAAATGGGGATTAAATTGCAGGGGGCGCTTTCTCAGTTAAACTGTGGCAGTCTCTCTCCCAGGGAAGCTTTGTTTTTGTTATGAAACCATCCCAGAAAAAGGACAAAGCAATGGATAGGAAGGAGCACCAAAATCTCCTGGTGCCAGCCCCGGCCTGTGCAGTGCATCACGTGGCCCAGCAGAACCGTAAATATTGTAGGAAGAAGGAGAAAAACCACCTTAGCAGAGGAATTAACAGCGAGGTGAATTATCTGCAGCTTCTCTCTTTCACTGTGCTATGAGGAACAGTCGCCCCGTGAATTGTTCCAGATTTATTTGGTACCAAACTCGGTGCCATCGTTGGTGATTTACAGTTCCCGGGACAGCTGGACCACGTAAGAGGAGCCCAAACCACACAATATGAACTGTGTGCAAACATGCATTGCCAGGGAAGGGTTTTCTGTCAGTTATCTGGTGTCTGATACACATTTTAAAAATTTAAAAATTAAAAAAAAAAAAGGATTGGACATGGAGAAGGAGATAATCTAATCCCTGTGAGGAGTGTTAGGATCGCCTGGCTTAATTTGGGCACGTGTTTGTGAAACTACCTGGGGAATGTGAGAGCACGTTCCTGCTCACATATGAAGGATTTAGACTTTTAAAAAATCTCAGAGCTGACAAACCACAGAGTCTTTTGGTCATTTGGATACCTCATGTCTGGATTATTCTCTTTAAAAATTGTCCTCAGATAGGAAAAGCAACAGTCTCCTCTAGAAGGATATTCATTAACCAGTTGATTTTGAAAGTTAGCTGTGCAAACTGTTGAAAATTAACAACTCTTACCATCTGAAGCTTTTATTCTGGTGTAACAACATCTATTTGACCTTGCATTTCCACTTCACGTGCTGCTTGTGATATTATGATTATCCATCTTAAAAGCAGTAATGGAGGTTGTGTATGTTTATTGGCCTTTAGAAACATTGTGTCTTGAAATAAACTGATTTTTTTTTTCTTTTATTCCTGTAAATGAGCAATCTGGTTTGTGGCTTATATAATCTCTTTCTTTGGGCAGCAGCAGCAGCAGAACAGGTACAGAAGTGCTGCTGCAGTCTAGAAAGATGTCCTGGTGTTTCCCTGTTACTGATCCTCGAGTAGCAGGAGGGGCTGGAGAATTAAACCTTAGGGATTAAAAGAACTCTCACAGAAAGGAATTTTGAGGCAGTTTGCACGAGTTGCTTTAATATCCCAGTTTATTTTTTTTTTTCAGATGTGTTTTTGTGAAGCAGGAACATCAGAAAGTTCTTCCTTTCCTGCTTGCAAATCTTAGATCCCAATTTTACATAATTGAAAGTGTCCATCTCCCTCCTTCTGCCTTACCCATCTCTGAGTTCTGCTGCCTCTGCGAGGTGGTGAAAGCACAGAATTCATGGCTGTGCAGACCGAGGGCTCCCTTTTCACATGCCATCTGTTCAGGTGTTCCTGTGCTGCATCCTGCTGTGCCTCCCACTCTGTGGACTGGAGGAATCTCCCCCAAGGGTGCTCTGAAGTTCAGCTCATTTTGTAGTCGTTCAGCCGCGCGTAAATTTTGTGGTCAAATCTTTCAGCTTCCTTTCCACATGGTTTTCTCCTTTCTCATGTGAAATTGAGGCTGCTCTGTGTTCTGTCACTCTGCCTGCATTGCTGTCACTTCAGACATGCTCATTCCTCCCTGTTTCCCTTTGTTCCCAGCTTGTTTCCATCCCAGTCGTGTGCCTTAAGCAGCCTCCCCTGTGCCCTCTGCTTTCCTCTGGGCCTTCCTTTAGTTTGCTCTCCTTAGTCAGCTATTCAAGGAGTTCTTACTTTTCCCTCCAGATCATCCAACTGAAAAACTCCTGCGTTATGTAGACAGAAAGTTCTCGGGGAAAAAAATGCCCTGACCTAATTTCACATCCTTTGTATTTTATTTATTATTGATGTATTGCCACACGTTTGGAACTGTGCTAATTTCTGCCTGTTGCCCTGCAGGAAGTTGGGGAGCCGTTCAAGGAGGAGAAGGCTGTTGCTAAATATTTGCGCTTCAACTGCCCAACAAAATCCACCAACATGATGGGTCACCGAGTTGATTATTTTATTGGTAGGCTTTTTTAACCAGATAATTAAATTTCTTCTGACACTCCACTTAGAGGGGCGGGAGGGGCTGCTTTGGTTTTATTATTGGTGCTTTATCTGATAAGTACTGATCTTACAGTTTGGGTTTGAAAACTTATCAAGGCGTTAGGAAGCCATAAAATTAATCTCATCAGGCTGGAGTAAACACAATAACCTTTTCCCTCTGTGATTTAAAGGGATGTAGTTGTCAAGAGTAATGCGTTTCAGAGTAGGGACCAGTCTTACTTTAAAGATTTGAAAGGGCGTGGAACATCAGCAGAACTGACTGGTCAGTGGGGTTCAAGGCATGTAGACTAAATGTTAAAATAAATGTTAATTTAAATGCATTTTTAATTCCGTTTTTTTCCTCTAGCCTCGAAAGCTGTGGATTGCCTGCTGGATTCTAAATGGGCGAAGGCAAAGAAAGGAGAAGAGGCTCTGTTTACAACCCGAGAGTCTGTAGTTGATTACTGCAACAGGTACGACCCCCACTCATTGCTGCAGTAAGGTCTGTTTGCAGCTGACACGGAGGGAATGCTTACACAGTTCCACAGAGCAGTTCTGGTTGTTGGACATCACTCACCAAGGAACTTTATAATCCCTGAGAGACAATTAAATGGACCTGGTGGCTTTCTGTCTCCTACATCCTGTGTATTCATCTGAACCTGCAAAATGCTGCCACACAAAAGTCCATTTCTCACCCACTTTTGCATAGCTGAACCAGAAAAAAAAAAAAAAAAGCAAAGCAACAGGCAAGCCATGGGATAATTAGGTCTGGTGTGTGTGGTAAATAGAGCAGATGATGGTGACCTCTGCCTTTCGGTCATGCTATTCGTGATTATGTTAGAGAGAGAATCTGGGTTGGTGTCTAACAACATAATGGAGTGTAAATGTTGTTATCACAGCTGCACTTAAATGTATCCTTTAACTCCGTTTCGTTTTAAGGCTCCTGAAAAAACAGTTCTTTCATCGAGCGTTGAAAGTGATGAAAATGAAACCTGACAAGGATACAAAGAAAGAAAAGGAAAAGGGAAAGGCTGAGAGCGGGAAGGAAGAGGAGAAAAAGAGCAAGAAGGAAAGTGGCAAAGATGAAAAAACTAAGAAAGAGAAGGAAAAGGAAAAGAAAAAGGATGGTGAAAAAGAGGAGTGTAAGAAGGTAAGAACTGTAAGAGGAGAGACAAACCTGTAACAAATACATGTTAACCAATTCTTAAGGTCACATTGGCTCAAAAGTATAGTTGGTTATTCTAAAAAAAGACCTTTTTTCCTGTTTTCATCTCTAAAATATGCTGCTTTGTTTTGTTACCTTTTGAATTATTCTTATTTCGATCTTGGTCACAAAAGAGGCTTCAGTTGGCCTTTGTGCACCTCGTCATCTTCTGGTGAGGGCTGAGTTAATCCGAACCTGCTCCTCTCCAGGATGAGCCTCAGTTAGCATGGAATGACACATGTGCATGTGAGCAAACATCTCAAACCAGCACAGCTGCACAAGTGAGACACAAAGTTTTGCAGTGTTTGGTAACAAGAATGTTTGGAATGTGATATTTGGTGTGTGGTGCCTGTAGCTGGCTGTGTAGGAGCTGCCCCGTTGTGTGACAGCTCCTCTCTGAGCTGCATCTCACTTGATCTTCCAGGTTCAAACTGTGGTTCCTGAACAAGTTTTCATGTGGGTTTTTTCGTGTTTCCATTCCTGGTTTATTTTATCGCTTATTTTATTATAAGCACAACAGACTTCCTAAATTCAGATGTTAGGAACCTGCAGGAGAAACTGGATGAGTGGAGGTGGTTTTTGTTCTCTGAATCAGTGAGAATTGGTGGGATGGTGCTCCAGAGTTATTCCCTTTCAGACACTCCTCTCACATTCAGAGTACAGTCTGTCTACAGAGGTTTGGATTTCAGACAAATATACATGGCTAAGAAGGAATTAGAACAGTCTGGCTGCAGGGTCAGCACAGAAGCCACTGTAAGACAACCCGAAATGCTGATTATGAAAGTTATGAGCTCCTCCAACCTGCTCTCATCAGGGGAGGTACATTATTAAATGTGATGTTAATTTTTAAACTAGTCATCATTTATTGAGCAGATCTTTAGTGGATTATATAAGGCAGTGAGTAGGAACTTGAACAACAACTCAGGAGCAAAATCAGAAAGTTAATTTAGCACAATGAAATAAGCAAAGAGAAGGAAATGGGAGACAGGGGGGAGGAGGAAGCACAAGATCCACAAAGAGATTGAAGAGGACAGAGAATCAACAGGCAGAAACTGATCTTGCCAGGATGCCCTTGTGGTAAATATGGCACCAAAGTTCCAGATAATTCTGATGAGGTCAGGGATGGTGAAATGTTGTTCCCTGCTCTTGGTCTCTGTGCAGAATTCCTGTTCATGCCAGCCCAGCTTTGCTATGCATTTGAAGAGACAAATGTAATCCTCAAGTCACAGCCTGCTCTTTAGATACTAATTAAAAATAAATTTTCTCTTTCTTTACGATTCTCCTTTATTTTTGAGGTACCTGGATGGTAATAAATAAAAACAGGAGGAAATGAAGCATCTGTAAGAAAAAGTGCGAACATGATCTTGAGTTTGTGAGAAGTTATCAGACTACATTAGCATAGTAGAAATTAAAACCTCTTCTTTTTTTGTAATTTAAATATACATAATTCATATATGTGTGTTTTGTGTATATATAATGATTATACATATAATATTATAGATGTAGATAAAAATATTTGTGCTTGTCCTCAGGATGAGACCCCAGGAACACCCAAGAAAAAGGAAACTAAGAGGAAATTTAAACTTGAGCCACATGAAGACCAAGTTTTCTTGGATGGAAATGAGGTGAGATTTATGGGTACTTTCCAACACTGAATGTCACTGTGCTTTTGTCAGAAAATAACTTCATTTACTGGATTTCTGCAAACTCTTGACACGTGAAAGAAAAATTAATGGCAATGTGATGGCTGATCCTGAAACCAGAGTTACAGATATTTGCCAGGAGGTTAAAGACAGGTAAATGTAGGACAGTAGCTTCAAAAAATCCCAAAGAAAACGTAATTTAGCAGTGCTGGTGGCCGTGAGGGGAAGTGTTTGTGCCCCGGGCGGTGCCGCAGCCACTGTGCCCGCAGCTGACCCTGCCTGGGCAGGAGGGGGGCAGAGACTCCTGAGGCCCCTCCAGCCCAAGGTACCCCATGCCAGGATAGTTCCAACCCCAGCACGAGCCTTTCAGAGCACGAGGTTCAGCCTCAGGAGGGAAAATAAAATATGCCTGCCTGACCTTGTGGTCTGAGCGGGCAGGTGACACTTGGGCCTTCCTGAATTCTCATCCTGGCTTCGCAGCTGAAATTGTGGCCTTAAGTGCTTCTCTGTGCTTTGCTTTTCTGGAAGACAAAGAACCTGATTGTTTACCAGCTCTGTAATGCACAGAGTCACGTTTGTGCTGCCGTAGTTTGGGATGAGTGGTAAGTTTTACTGTGCTGTGTTGATGCTGTGTGTGGCTGTACTGGAATTTCCCCTTGGATTCTCGTATTCCTTTGGTTATGAAACATACACAGCAGCAAATTCCATAAGTGAATGAATGTAAGTGTGAAAAAATGGACTTCCCTTATGTATCTTGGTTTTACTCTCAGTCAGTTCTTCTGCTCTGCCTTGCTGTTTCATCCCATCTTCTGTGCAATCACAATTAACTGATCCTCCCTGTTGTCTTTACATGGAGTGCCTGGGATAGTTTGGCATTCCCAATGGGGCTGCACCATAGCACTTGCACTATCACGGTATTTACTGCTTAACATCACTTCCTATTTTGTTTCATTAACCAGCTGGAATTTTTTAAGAACTGCAACTTCCAAGAGGGTTTTTTTAAGTAATTTTTTTTTTTTTTTTAGCTAATTTAGAGCCAATTCTTGTGTATTTGCATTAGAGCTGTTCTTTTTCCCTTTTCTTCATTATTTTGCCCTTACAAACACAGATATCACACACTGTCTTCCTGCCCAGCTTGTGTGGGCTCACAGAACAGCTGACTGGCAGCAGCTACGCCCAGGACAGTCAACTTTGGCTCCCTGTGAGAAGCACAATGCCAGATACCTGCTGATCCCACAGAATCCCCCCTGCCTCCCAGGTGTCCCTCAGGGAGTTCAAACTGACACATCTGCAGCAGGGATGGTGGTTCCCAGCAATCAGCAGCTTCTTTTCAGAGCTGCAAGCTCAGATCCAAGCTGTTTGGCTTGCTAAGAGAAGAAACCAAATTTTTCCAGTTCAGAAAATCCCGCATTTACCGAGAAGTTTTTTGTTTCATACAGTTGAGCAGCTCTGATTCCAATGACCCCCAGTCCTCACACAGACATTTAGCACTGAGTGTTGCAGCTGCAGACACTGAGGTGACATTGCCAGTGGGACAGAGGGGGCAGTGACACTGCTGTGAGCCCAGCACATGGGCTGGGGTCTTGGCTGTCTGCTTTGTTCCAGCTGTTCAGTCTGGGCTTTTTTCTCTGCAAAGCTCTCAGGCCTTTTTTGTTTCCCCTTGGTGGACTTGAGAAACTTCTCTTTTTTTTTTTTTGCAGAAGTGTTTTTGGCTTCATGCCGAACAACTTTAATGCATAAAGATAAACCCAAAACTTGGTTTCAGGAATTGTTCTGAATAATTAATTTCCCATCAGTTCTGCTGTGTGATTGTTTTGCCCATGATTACATCACCCATCAGTCACCCTTCCTGGGAACCCTGACCCCTTGCCTGCTCCAGTGCTGACTGAGGGCACCAAGCACTGCAGGCAGTGAGGTTTGGGTGAGGGGATAAATGAGCTGTTTATCAGAGAGCTTGTTTTCTGACTGTAAACCAGGTCATTTCTGTTGTAGGTGTACGTGTGGATCTACGACCCTGTTCACTTTAAAACGTTTGCCATGGGACTCGTACTCGGTAAGTCAGAGTAGACCTGAGTTGTTGATTTCTGTGGCCTTAAGCTAACCAGGAGTGTCCAGTGGGCAAATGTGGGTTATGTGGAAATAGGAAATATGTTATGAATTTCTAGAACTGTATTTGTGCAGGATAAGCCCAATCAGCCAATTTCATATTTTTAATTTAAATTAGTGTAGATGTTAACTGAACCAGTGAGCTTGACAGACCATCCATGTACTGCTGGTCCAACACCTTCCAGCTTCCTCATCATGAGAGAGCCACCTTTCCTGAGAATCCATGTTATCCCTTGGGGCCACACTGGGGCCTTTGACCAGTCCTTGGGGTCACCAGGATGTCCCCCCATGCAGCAGTTCCTGCTGCGCTGGTGCAGCAGCTCCCCCTTTGGCTCGAGCCCTCTCCCAGAGCTGCTCCCGTGGCTCCCTTGGCCGAGTGCAGCCACTGGAGCTGCTGAAGGAGCTGTCTGCCCAGCACAAAGCCAGGAGCGGTGAATCCACACAGAGACACTGTCAGCAGCTCACCCTGTGCTAAGCCAGCCCCTGGAATGAACAGTAAGCCTGGAACCTCCGTACACGTGCCAGGGAAAACTAACGCTGCTCCTCCTGCTTGTCTTCTCCCCCCCTGTGCCCAGTGATCGCCGTGATTGCCGCCACGCTGTTCCCGCTGTGGCCCGCCGAGATGCGCGTGGGTGTTTATTACCTCAGCGTGGGCGCGGGCTGCTTTGTGGCCAGCATTCTGCTCCTCGCCGTGGGTGAGTGTGGGGCGGGCGGAGCCTCCAGGGGCAGCCCCGGGCTCGGAGCTGGGCGGTCCCGCTTCCCAGGACGGTGTTGGCCGATCCCGTGCGCGTTTCCCTCCCGGCCACCGGGGGTCACAGTTGTGCCACGGGAAGAGGGAGATCTCAGGCTCGTGTCACCTGTCGGTGTTTCCCGTGTAGTGCAGGTTCGTTCGCTGCCTGTTTAAACAAAAAGGAGCAAAACGACCCCGGAACTGCGCACAAGAACAGGTTCTGTGGTGAGAATGATGTCACCAGGATTTTAAAAGTCACTCTGATTGTATTTCTGTGGCAGAGGATTAAGGGCCAAATCAGAGAGCAGATCCGTGGTTAGTGGGATGGGGGAGATGTGGCAAGAACAAACTATTCCAGTGCTATTGTGGAATGAGGGGTTTTCCCCTGATGTCACCCAGTCCCTGGCTTGGGGTGGGTGTTAGCAGTGGGCATCTCCTACCCCCTGGTTGTGCTCTGTGTGTGTTCCCAACAAAACCCGGCGTCTCCCCTGTTCTCACACAGCTCGCTGCATCCTTTTCCTGATCATCTGGCTCATCACTGGAGGAAGGCATCACTTCTGGTTCCTGCCAAACCTGACGGCAGACGTGGGATTCATTGACTCCTTCAGGCCCCTGTACACACACGAATACAAAGGACCAAAAGCAGACTCAAAGAAAGAGGAAAAATCAGAATCCAAAAAGCAGCAAAAATACGACAGCGAGGAGAAATCAGACAGTGAGAAGAAGGAAGAGGAGGAGGGGAAAACAGAAGGCACGAGGAACTCGGGCACTGAGGGCTCGGGAGGGGAGCGACACTCAGACACTGACAGTGACAGGCGCGACGACGACAGGTCCCAGCACAGTAGTGGCAACGGAAACGACTTTGAAATGATCACAAAAGAGGAACTGGAACAGCAAACAGATGAAGGGGATTGTGAGGAGGAAGAGGAGGAAGATACCGAAAGTAGGCCTTCCCATGGGAAATCATAACTCACTGTGGTTTGGGACTAAGTATGTGCAAATGGTTGGATTTTCTTTGTTGGCTGATCACCAAAACATAGACCATACAGTAGCATCTTCGTTTGCTGAAATATACGTGTTACCAAACAGTTTTATATCTAGTTCCTTCTTTTTTTTTTTTTTTTTTAACCATTAACTTGATTACTTGGTACTATGTTAATCATTAATATCCATTTACAGAAGTTTTATCAATCTGACAAGTTTTTTATCGATTGATAGATTGCCCAGATTGTCCTCAAACAATACTGAAAAACATCGTTTTCCGGTACTTGCATAACTGGTCAATTAGTTTAGCTTCTCAAACTTGCTTTTGTAAACCAGGTAAAAGTTGAATGACCAAATCTCGGATTATTCCTAGTTATACTCATTTGATAGTTAGGTAAGGCCCTTCTTAGCCCACAGCTTTTCTTGATATTTTCCTTGATTTTGTTTTCGAGAGATTGTGAGAACTTTCCTAAGAAAACTAGTTTTAGCAGAAGCATTTTGCTGGCAGTAGAGGAGCTGGTAGTGCTGAATTTGGCTGCAGTGTCTCTGTTTCTCCAGCCCACGTACCAGCAACCGAGGAAATCCAAACTGGTTTTGCACATCCGGTGCAGAGAGAGACGTCATCTCCTGCAGGGGAAGGAGGCAGCACAGTTTGGAAATAATGGCTGTTTTCTTTCTCCTGCTCCATCATAATTAAGAAAAAAAAAATAAAAATGTATTCTGTACATAATTTACAAATAAAGCAAACCATTTACTTTAACTGCTACTTATTATTTAGAGATTTGATCCAGCATTCAGTTTGTATTATTGAAGCCATTTTGTGGTGTGTCTACGGGAGAAAATGCAAGTCGAGAGGACCTCACAGAATATTTGTGTATGATCGGTAGCTGTTCCACGAGAGCTTTAGTTTTGTGCCAACATTCCATGTATTTGAGTAAATTGATCTTTATTAAATGCAAGCAAACACCAGAGCTGTATGGATGCCTTAATGTTAACCCTCTGTGTACCCTGGAACTGGAGCTGAAGAGCCAGGAGAGGGTTGTTCTGCTCCACGAGCTGGGGGACTCAGAGCTGATGTGAAGTGACCGTGAATGATTTGTTTGTAAATCCCTTTGGAGCAGCTGGGGGGGTTCCTCCCGTGCATCCCTCCCTGCTGCCTGTGGGAGGACGGACTGCAGGACCTGCCTAAAGCCTGGAAGAAGTTGAGACTCCACATCTTTCCTCTCCATGACTTGAACTGTAGACTGATTGTCCCCCCAGCCCGCTCAGAGAAGATGAGGGTAAGCTTGATGTTTTCATATCAGACTTTTAAGAACTTTTTTTTCCCCTTGTCCTAAATTGCTTCCCATCCTTCCAGCGTCGGCGTTCTGGATGAAGATGCTGATTTTTCAGATTGTGCAAATATCTACATCATCATGGGTGCATTGATAAACAGTTCATGGATATGGTGTATTTGCTTCTTAAATCTCCTGAATAATTACTCCATAAGGAAGCAGATAAATTGGATCACTTTTTTATTAATATAGCAAAAAAATTAAAGGACCCATTAACTAAACAGATTGACTCCTGGCCACTTGTGTGTTGTCACTGATTGAAGTAGAAAACAAAGTGCTGTTGTACTGATGGGGGGTGTGTGTGGTGGGGAGAGCAGAACCTGCTCTGGGGGCTCAACAGGGGGCAGCCCTGGCCAGTTTTTTAAAGAAAATGTAGTGGCTTTCAGTTGTTTCAAGTACTTCTCCTCCTCTACGTGAAATAATGTCTTCAGGGCCTCACTGAGAAAATAAAGTTGAAATGGTCAAATAATCAATCCCCCTGCAGTGGTGCCATCTGCTCCCTGTTCACTGCACAGGTGCCACGTGCCAGCACTGCCCGCCTGGGGACGAGTGTCTGGGGCTCATAATTGACCACCAGACAGTTGTGCTGGCACCTTAAGAGAGTTCCAAACTCCCAGGGCTTAGAAACAGAACTGGCCTCAAACTCCTCCACTTTGCTGAGCTGTGAACAGCTCTGAGCCTCTGAGGTGGGGTGAAGGCAGAGCTCTGGGTAGTGGTTAAGGACCTGTGTCTCGTTACTGTAATCTAGTTTTCCTAGAAATATCCCCCCAATACTTCTGAATTATTTTGGAACAAGGTAATGAGAGAAGTGATTACAACATGCCCTAATAGTGAAATTACGAGCATTTGCTTTCACTTGCTGTGTATCATGCAGCAGATTTTCCTGGGTTTATATATATATATAAAATAGGAGATTGTACATGTAAAACCTGTGCATATATATATATATATAGCTCTGTATGTGTGTTTTTATATCTGTTGCTCATTTAGGGCTGTTTCTGTTTGCAGTAACACTGGCTGGAGTTCACTGAGCATCACAGAGCAGGAAAAGGGACAAGTAAAACTGGGCAGTGTCTCAGTCCACTCCTAAATTACACCTTCCCCAGGACTCAGGAGAGCAGTGGCAGAAGCATCTGCCCCCTGTAAACACCAAATGTAGACAATGCAAACATGAACTGTGGAAATGGAAAACACCTGCTGGGTTTGGTCCTTCATTTCCCTTCCTGTGCAGTCCTTGCAGTGGCTCCCCATCTCCAAATGTGCCTCGTTCAGATCAAATTTTCCAGCGGGGAAGTTCTAAATGTATTACTTATTTGCATTCTAGAAAGCTTTTGTTTGCCTTCCACGTATTTGAGTCTAAACTCCCCAGGGAGCTGCACTGGGATAAACTCAGAGTAGGTCCACAAGTTTGGAACACCAAAAAACCATCCTTTATGACTGATTGTGACCAAATCCTTCCCAGGGAGCGAGAGCAGAGTGGTGTGAGATGGTCCGAGGCGCTGTGCCCTCCTCACTCGGAGCACAAGGACACGGGCAAAACAATCCTATCAGTGTAAGGGGACGGGGACTGAAGCAGCTGCTGAATGTTCTCAATAGACTTCCTGGTAATGGCTGGTACAGTTTCATTAGGGCTTCTCATTTTATTTAATAAAGCGTTGGATTATTTTATCTGGAATTCAGCAACAGGTGCAGGAAAACAAAAGGGCACATTTCCTGATAGTGCCCACAAAGGGTCCATTCCTGCCTGGCTGGCACCGAGGCGTTTGCTCTGGCACGTGGATTTTTTTCTGGATGTGAAAATAATGGTCACTCAGGAAAAAAAAAATATTGTTCTATGATAAGAGACTTTTGCGTTCGAGTCAGTAATGGCGACGTGCAATGGCTGCAGTGCAAGTTGAAGTAAGGAGAGAGCCAACAGTGCTGGGTAAACACCGCTCCTGCTTCAGATCAAGATCAAAGCATTCTCTGCAGGTGGTAACGACCATTAAATCCTCATCGTGTACAACAGAAGCCCAACACTGAAAAGGCTCAGCTGGTGACCCCCAAAAGCACTCAGGAGCCTGGATCCAGTGAAGGCTGGAGGTGATTAGGACAGAGACATTCTCTCATTTTACCTTTGCTAGTCCGTAAATGGAACACGGAGCAGAGTCCTGGGTGACCCTCACTGGCCCTCAGTAAATTCTTATTTTCTCTTTTTGGCACACCGGTAATTAAGTTGTGGGTGAGCAATCAGAAGATGGAGTTTTGAATTCTTCACACTGAGGGTGGGATCGAAATTAAATTTCCACTCTTTTAAGCTTCCTTTTAAGTGAAAGTGCCACTACAGAACTCATTTAAAAATGAAGTCTACCAGGAGGTAGTGAGACACTAAAGGGCTCAGCTGTGGTATTTGTGGGCAGCACAAGGAGAGTCAGCTCACATCCTGCACTCCATGTTGCCTTCAGTCTTAATTTTAGCTCCTTATCACCAGCAAGCCACAAAGTGGGTTTTATAAATGACTGGTTCGTGTGATGGAGTTTCCAGAGTCTTGCTCATACTTTCTCTCTTCTGGTTCCCTGAAAAATGTCTTTTGACAAAGACAAGCCAAGAAACACCAACCCTGCAGGGTCACCACGGGCACCAGGAAAGGTCACAGGGGAAGCAGGTGGGGGGCACACAAACCAAGGAACCACCACACCTGAAAAATCCAGCCAGGCTGGCGTCACCTCTGCACTGCGTTCACTGCATTTTCACTGAAGAAGCAGAGGGAGAATTCTGTAACAAGTTTGCCTTCAAATTAAAATTACTACAGAAGTGTGTTTGTCCTCAGCAAGATCTTCCTAAGAACAAACCTGTGACTTTTAAGATGAGCACCTCAAATGAAGATCTCAGACTGCATTGCCTGTGCTCTTAAAAGATTCTTGGACGCTAAATGAAAACATCTTGCAAATGGGACACTGGTCAAGCATTTTCTTCTTTAAAAATAAAGTTGGTTAAATAGTTTATTAGTTACATATGCTATTAAATATTTGATTAAAAATTTTGAATCTTCCTAACCACCATTCTGCCTTCCTGAGCCACGGCAGGAACGGCAGCTCCACAACCGCTTGCCATTGCAAAACCCCGGCTGCTGATCCCGTGCTGACGAGGCACAAAGTCTGATACAGGGCATGGAACAAGCTCAGCTGGGACACACCCAGTTAAAGGCACATCCAGGGAAAAGGAGAGGATGCAGGCAAGGCTGTACCACACTGGAACTCATCCCTATATGCACTTGATCTTCTTGTCTTCACCCTCGGGGCTTGAGGTGGCCACGATGACAACATCGGATTTCTTGAAATGCACAAAGGTGAGAGGTTTGAATTGTTTTCTTCTGCTCAGCAGCAGAAAGGGGCAGGTGGCAACTGAAGCTCAGCACGGCCCAAACAGGAAGAGCAAGGGAAAAGCAGATTCAGCTCTAACTGCACAGGAAGAACAGCCCACACTTCTGTGTGGACAGGAGTTGTGTTATCTGCACCTGCCCCTGTCTGAAGGCAACCTCCTGGCCCTAAATCAGGCAGAAGCAGCGTGCAGGAACTGGAATGATCCACACTGCTCTTCTTAAGTGACTCGGGAGGCCACAGGGAGGAGAGGGCAGAGCCCCAGCCCTGCTCGGGGAGGACACTTTGTTCAGTCACTGTTTCTTTCACAAAGTTATCAAGTTGGGTTTGATATCAGAGAGGTTTTTTTCTCTTGTTGCTTTCCCCTTTGTTCTAAAATCCTGCCCTACCACTTAAGTTCAACAACAGAACCCAAAGCACAAGCAATCAGCAGAAGGAAACGGCCTTGAAGAAGGAAGGAAGCCTCATGCAAATATCTTGTTACAACAGGGGACACACAGAACCACCACACGAGCTTCTGGTACACAGGCAGCTTTTGCAAGAGGTTTGCTGTCGTTATTTCATGAGGGTCGTGCTGCAGGAGGACCCTCCTGTCTGTTTGCACACACAGCTGCCTGCATTCAAACATAAACTGATTTCTTAAACCCTTCTATTGCTGCCTGTGAATGGAAATGCAGCCTCGTTAATCGGGATGGGCTCCAGCCATTATTTTCAGATTATGGTGTTTGTCAAGGACCTGCAAGTTTTCCTGCAAAGGAAGATCCAACCCTTACCCAGTACTGAGTGTGAGCAGCTCTTCTGGCACAGCAAGAGGGGCCTGCAAGTGCCAAGCTCTGCATTTGGTTTCCAGGGCATCCCATCTTGCACCACCATTTCTGTGGGATGGAAGGTGAGCAGAAAACAGGGGTAACCAGTGAGCAAGAAGCAAACTTTCAAACCAGCTGAGAAAGGTGGTGGAGGGAAAGGGGACCTGAGAAGTAACCACTGCTATGGATCTGACATAGCCTGGACATCACACACCCACTGGGATTTTTATCAGCAGAAAAATATGCCTAAACTGTCCCTGTGCCCTCCTGGTTGCTCATTTCCAGCATCCAGGCATCTCCCCACACAGGCCGGTACAGTATTTGCTGCTGTCATAAAGACAGACATGAACACAGACAAACCAAAACATCCCACAGGAGTATCTAAACAGTTCATCAGCTCCCATCGGGAAAATCACTTCCACTGCTTTGCCTTGGGTTAGAATGAAGAAGAAAACTACTCTTGAAGGCACCAGCCTTCAGGTACTTGTGGGTGGACTGAGTGATCAGAAGGTGCAATACCCTCTCAGATGTAAACAGTTTCTTATTATACTCCAATTTGTGCAACAGCCCTGGGGAAAATGGTTAGAACAAGTAACTGTTGCCAGTGTGAATCCTGCTGGAGATTACTTGAAGCTCTCACATTTCCCGCAACACTGATCACTTTTTTCCACCCCCCTAACTGAAGTTATTTAATTCTTCAGATAAACCATGATGGGAAAGAGAAGGGAAAAATAAAAAGAGGGGGAAAAAAACCTCTAGTTACATCTGAATCAATTTCAGAGAGTTAATTGCTTTCAGAGAAAGTCCCCCAGCCACTTCGACACTTTTGTACACTCGGGTACCTCAAACAGCACCCACTGTGCGGGCTGGGGGCTTCCCAAAGGGAGCATCCCGTGCTCTCTGCCACGCAGCCAAACCCCGAGGGTTCGGGGGGCACCCGCTGGAGCGCCCTCACCCCCCGCCATCGCCTTTTCCCCACACACACAACACGTTCAGAACCCCAAGAGTTTCTCTGCCCCATCCATTAGGATTCGGTAGCCCAAGAGCGCGGGGCTCTTCGTCTCCCTGGGCCGGGGGATCAGCCCGGAGCTGCTGGGGGCGGTTGTGCCGCGCTGTGTGTGCTGTGTGTGATGTGTCCGATGTGTGATGTGTGTCATGTTCCGTTTCCCTGGACGCGATCCCGCCCCGCCCCGCCCCGTCCCGCCCGGTCCCCGCGGGGAGGCGGCGATGGCGCTGGGCAGGAGCGGCGGCCGCAGGTGGGGGCCGGGGCCGGGCGGGGGGAGCAGGAGTAGCCCCTCGGAGCCGCCTCCCTCCCTCCTGTCCTTGCGGATCCCGCCGGGAGTGCCGGGAGGAGGCGCGGGCAGCGCCGGTTCCTCCGTGCCCGGGGTGTGTGCAGCAGGGTCCGCACAGCCCTGGATGGCGATTCCGCCTTACAACAGATAAATTATTGTTATTATTATTATTATTACACGCTTACCGAGCGGGACCCTGTTGTCGTGCAGGTTTCCTTTTCGGCGGACACAAGCGCAGCGTCCGGTCCATGAAGACGAAACACGGAGGGAATGAAGGCGTTGTGTGAGACCAATCAGGTGCTGGAGGATGGACCCGAGCCGATGAGGAGCGAAGCGCTGAGCCCAGGTAGGATTGTAAACAACCGTGCTCTGACTCCAGTGTTCAGCGACTTTGACACACGTGTCTGTGTAAATCCAGCTGATAACAGAGAGCCGATTCCTCTTTACTTCAGCTCTGCTCTCGCTGAGAGCACTGACACGATCCTGCTTCTTCAGGGAAAGAGAGGAAGGCATGGAGAGCTTTGTCTGATACGTCCAGCTGATTCACACGAAGCCATCCTGTGTTCATTCTCTTTAGGAATTAACACACAGAAAAGAGTTATCATAAGGAAACTCATGGAAGTCCGAAGGGAAAAGCAGCTGTTCTGAGGTGTCTGTCATTGTAGCACTCCCACTGTTTTATGGTGAACAAAAAAGCCCAGTCACTGCTGAAGCCCGTGTGTTCTGCATTGCCTCGGAGTTCCAGGACTCTGGAAAAGGATGGGCTGCACTGCTGCTTTTTCTGTGTTCAGGATATTTCTGCAGTCACAGTTTCTCACAGGTTCTATGACCATCATGAACTGTGAGGCCACGCTGTGACATCTCTTCTACAATTTCTGTAATTGTCTAATTTCTTCAAAATGCGGAGGAGCTCTGAAACCTCTGCCCAGCTGCACAGAGAGACCTCTTTGCTTTCTGAAGGAAAGGAGCACAGTCACCTTTATTTCCTAAACCTTTCCTTGGGACAGCAACTAGAAAAGTAACTTATGCCTATGGTGATCTTGTAGCTCTCAAAAATGTAATTTAAACAACATAAAATTCAGGCATTTGTTGGCAATTTCATGATGTGTTAGTGAAGTTACTTACTCTTAGTTAAGGAGCCTGGAAAACTCAGATGTAAATTGGGTACTTGCTGTGACGGAGAATTAACTAACTGATAGAGGAACCGAGAAATAAATTTGGTTTAACTTTGTTTTTCTTTTCAGAGATGAAGCAGTGTGCCCCGTGACACTCATCTTTGCTGTTTCCACCACTGGAGGATGGCTGGCAGACTCTGTGAAAATGGTTCTGGTCAGCACCACTCCACCCACATCAACCCACCTCTTGAAACCAGCTGCCTGTTGCTCCTGATCATGCTCGGAAAAGTCTCCCTCGATTTCTTCACGCTGCACGTGAAGCCCAAAAACGTGAGAGTCAGTTTTATGGGCTGCTTTTGCGCGTCGGTGGCGCTGCTCGATCTGGCGCTGCTGCTGATCTCGTGTTTCATTTTCTGTTTGGAGGACTTTGCGCTCTGGGGGCTGCGCTTCACCCGCTACCACATCTGCCTCTTCACCCAGCTCACCTCCCTCACCTGCGGCATTCTGCACTACCCCGTGTACCTCCTCGCTGCTCTGGACCATTACACCACCATCTCCCACACGTCCCAGCTCCCCAAAAGAGGCCAGAAATTACTGTACGTGGTTGCTGTGGTGGTTCTATGGATTTCAGGGTTTTTTTGGATTCTCAAAGTTCCCGCTGTCTACGAAGAGCTGGAAATTGAGAAGAGCGTCACTCCTTACCAGTGCCCTGTCTCTGGCAGCCTGCAGAGCTACTCCATCTCGTGTGCCATGGTGCTGCTCCTGGGCACTGCTCTCCTGGCTCGCTGGAGGGAGGTGGTGACCACCCTGCTGTCTGCCAGGCTCGTCTCTGTCTCCAGTCAGCCTGCTCTGATCTTCCCCTACACGTCCAACACCACCGCCTGCTTCAAGTGGCAGCTCCTGACCAGGCTCCTCGTCTGCTTTCTTGGCACTTGGGCACCTTTGGTGGTTCTGCAGGTCCTGGTCGTGTTCCTGGGGGTGCAGATCCCGGCCTACGTGGGCATGAACGTGCCCTGGCTGTACTTCATCAACAGCTTCCTCCTGGCAGCCGTGTGCTGGTGCCGGTGCCACGAGGCCGAGCTGGCAGAGGGCACGTGGAGCTCAGACCCGTTTGTCAGCTGGAAATTCTGCTTTGTGCCGTTCGACAATGAAAGCACGGAGCCAGCTGATGAGGCGGGGGCGGTGATTGTCTGTTAACGAGCTGCGGGCTGGGAAGGCTGCAGGAAGGGCGGGCTCTGAGGTTCTGTGGCTGGGTCCTTACAGACAACGCGGGGAAACAGCTCCAGAAACAGCTCCAGAGCTGCACTCCATGGAAACCGGTCCAGTGTTGCAGTGGGTGATGCACTGGAGTGCAGGACACCGCTCCCAGTGCACTGCCAGTTCAGGGGATTCATCTTCAAATACGTTTCAGAGACCACTGCTTTCGTAAGCCGAGTTCTCTGTTAAACCTCGTGTTTGTGACAGTTTTATATTTCCTTTACGTGGAATGATCTCAGGTTTTACCAGTACAAAATGCAATAAAGTCTTCAAGGTTGGAGCTACTACAGGTGCTGACCTAAAATTCAAACAACTTCCGTGATTTTTTTTTTTTGAAGTGCATTTTCTTGTTAACGTCTGGCTTTTTGTCAGCTTGACTGAAGTTGAGGGTTGTTGTCTGTTTAACCAGAAATACATTTTTTTAGTTAATGTAAAGCTACAGATCCTACAGAAATAGGAACTTTACCTGGCACAAAACCAGTACAAGATGTGCAACTTCCACAGCCACGGGAGAGGTGCTGAAGCTTTGCTGTTTCTTTGCTGCTGCTCCTGTAATGTACAAGTACATATTAAAAATTAAATTACCACGGTCAGAGCTCTAAGCAACAAGGTTAATTGCTATATATAAATACATGCCCAGGGCTAAAGAATGGCTTAAATTAAAATACAGTTTATTTTGAAGTCAAAATTACTTTAAAATAGTTAAATATGAAGAGTGACTATGGCAGGGAAAGAATTAATCAGGCTTGGAGCAAAAATACTCCTAATCTCCAAATTCTTACAGTTCTGCAAAGGACTTGGTTTAATTTTGTAGAGGAGAAATAAATGATACACAACCAAAGCAGACAAATGAAAGTAGCATTTATTTCTGAAGCACTGAACTCACAATACAATGTTGTATTGAAAGAGAAACTAAACGATGCTGCAGGTTGGTTAATCATTCCCCCAGACCCACAGGGAACGATGATTTCACACCAGAACACTCGTTAAGAAAACTCTGCAGATAACAAAAGGTGCAATTACAAGCAAGTTTTAAGCAGCATAGTATAAGGTGCTTTGTTTCAGCATTTGTAGGATGGATTTACCCATTAACAGACAGATTAAAGAAATTTCACTTCTACAGATCATAACAAAGGAGAGAATCTAAAATTCATTCACATGCGAGGTGGTGATAGGAAAGTGCTTCTTAAAAACGATTCACAAAGTGAAGATCATACTTTTACATAATTCACTGTGTGCTCTTCCACTTTAAAATTTAAATTTTGGGCTATAATTTACATTATTATATATCAATTATAGAGATAGATTTAATTGCAGGATCTAACGCTATGTGGGCTAAATTTTCTTATAAAAGAATATTCCAGTATTTCACTCCATAAGAATACACAATCACATCTCAATCATAGATTAATCTTACATTTCTGAAACATATCAAGAGTCTGATTATTGTCTTTTATTACTTCACCCCACACAATGCTGCTTTCATCCACAGTCTGGGGTAAATTCCTTGGAGGTTTCCATGATATATTCAAAAGGACACGAGCATTTTTCAGGAGTAGAAAGTGGGTTTGGGGGGAAAATCTGTTAAAAAGGCCATCAAAAGGACAGTAAGTGATCAAAAACTGAATTTTAAAACTAGTGCAAGAAGAGGAGGCAACACTTAGCAACATATTTTGAAGTGTTTGGCACCACAAATTATTTCTTTTATTTTTTTTTTTTTTTTATGCTGGAAAACGTACTCGGAGGAAATTCTGCTTCCACGTTAGAAGTGGGAAAGCACAAACATTGTTAACTGGAAAAACAACCTTGAGCAATCACTCCCTGCTCTCTCAAACTGCAGTTGCTGTCAGTTAGTGCTGGAGATGCTATAGGATAAACCATGGCTAAGCACAGGGCTTTGACACAGCATTTCTTCAGGTTTTCTATAAACTGGACACCCACTGAAATGGGGCTGCCAAAATATTTACAAAACCTAATTCTGTTTAAAAACCAGCAAAAATACCTCAAATACAGTAATGCACCAGGCATTGGAGAAGATCACAAAATAACTGATTCCTACAGACTGGGCAGGCAGGGGGAAATTCCTCATTTAAAATTAATGTAACACCAGGTGAAGGCAAAGTTATTTTCCAGTCCATTTCCAGGTGTGTTTTGCATGGCGAGTCTCACCCTTCTGATTCACAAACATACCCAGAACTGGAACTGCAACAAGTTGGGTGAGGCTGTCGAGGTGCTTTATTTATCAGTGTGGTTCAGCTGCCCAACCCCTAATTAAAGCTCCCTCAACCCCATCTACCCCACCGTGGCAGAACTGCCAGAGCTGCTGCAGTGCTCCTAGAGCCATTGGAAGTTCTTAAAATTCTATTTTTTTTTTTTTTTTGACAGGGAATCCACAACCTGCAGCCAAAGCAAACATTTCAAATACTTTACAGCCTTTAATTCTTATCGGATTATTTGATATTAATGGTAAGAGCAGCTGAAGTGTTAACCCTTAATGAGGAACTTCTGTACTTTCCTCGTATGTCTTACAAATCAACACTGATTTTAATGATGTTCTGCATCTTTTCAACTCTGAGTATTTGGCACTCAGAGATAAAACCCTTCATCTTCACTCAGGTTTCCTGATCAGTACTGGTTTGCTCACTCTGTGACACAAAGACTACTCTAAAAAGGAGCTGATTGTGCAGAATCTCTTACTGTTCTTTCCAAAAATGACCTTGCCAAAGGCTGCCAGAGGATGGGAACATCCTGGCGAGGCAGTGGAGGCCAATCTGAGCCTCCCCACAGGCTGCCTGGGCTTCACCCACAGCTGAATCCCTCAGGAATCCATTCCATCTCTGCTCGGAGCCTAATCCCATAATCAGCACTGATACCCTCATTTAGGACTAGGAACAACACTACAAACCTCCCAACAACCCAATACAGTGCTTTTAAAACACAATTAGAATGCTCCTCAAGTGTTACTTATTGCACTTCAACAGTATTTATGATCACTGTTCTATGAATGTACAATGGTGCTCAAGTTATAATCACTTCTGGAGGAAAACTCTCTTTAAATCTCATTTTTGTAGCTCCTTGCTGTCCAGAGTTATTTTGAACAATTAAACTGGAAGTTTAACATTTTTTAACTTGAAATCTGTTGACAACACTGACTCCCAGTCATAATCACGACTTGGAACTTCTGAGCATGAATAACTTGAAAATTAATTCACTATGAGCAACTAACACCTCACGTTGAAATGACTCATTTATAGCTCTGCTCATACCTGTTCCATTCAGCATCAAACAATGTATTGAAAACAAAATACTCTGAAACGTTAAGTTTGTCTCCATCTCTAACAAACTAATTTAGGTGGACATTCAAAAAAGCATCCTAGATTGATTCTTCTGCAGTGTCATTATCTGCTGCCTGGAACAATCAGTGAAAGAAGTCTGGTTAATGATGACAACAACTATATTTCTAAATAAATGCTAACAGGACATCTCTATGCAATACTGGAGAGAAAATAACCCTGCAGGCTTTTATACATGCTTAGTTTTAATGAACTAGAATGGTCTCAGTAGAATCAGCTACTCATGTCATAACTTCTGTGGATGTCTAATTACTTGCAAAACCAGGACTCCCAACACAGATATCATCAAATTCTCTGATCACTCAGAGCTCTACATTTGTCAGTGGGTAGGAACTCTGTTCAGCTGCTGAGCTGGAAGTTCCTGCACTGATACTGGGATATTAAAATGAGAACAGTCACCTGGAATAGGCATTAGTTTTAGCTAACTTATTTTCACAGGAAAGAAATGAGGAAATGGATGTCTGCAGGACATAAACCTTTCATTTAAGGTATCTCATGGACAAAAATCTAGCAAAGGTTCTCCCCTTCGTCAACAACTTCATTTCTGCAAAAAATATGATGGGTAAAAAAGGGACTTACAAAGCTGTCTGTCTAAAAACCCTTCAAACACTCTCTGGTGATCCAGGACAACTGGCACTCTAAGTCAGTGCAGGTGGCCAAGTTTCCTCACTGGAGTTTCCTACTCCTGCTGCAGAGCTCAGTGATGAGAGCCAGATGGGGGAGGCTGAACACCCATTTTGCTCATTCATGTGTATTTCTTTAAAACCCCAAACAAACCCTGAAGCCGAGACAAGTGTAATAATTCTAATTCTACTGGATAAAATCCCGACAGCCACATTCAGCCCAGTGCTCTGCCAAAGGGTTTTTTGCCCTGAGCTAATGCTGCAGTTTGCACATTCAGGAGTAGGGCAGGATGGGGACTACTGGGGAAAAAGGAAGGGAAAAAGCCATGCAAAAACACCTCCCTTCTGAGCAAAGATCCCACAACATCCTGCACTGCTTCCCAGAGGAACTGAAATACTGCAGGGATTCCTGTGAGATGTAGCCCACAACAGCAGAATTCTGAATACAGAAAGGAAAACCCTAGGAAATTAAGCTAATTAAAAGGATTTCTTGTAGATACATCCAGTGGGAGCAAGTGCTAAAAAACAGTCAATTAAAACCTGCAATACTTCCTCTTTTGCAAGGAGGTCCAGCCTAATGTGTGGAAAGCCATGGGAAATGGCAGTATAAGCCTGGGAAAACCTCACCTATCTGAACAGCAACAAGTGGTTGGTATGTAAAATAGTTCTGGAGGACTATTAGTCTAAGTATTACATTGCTTTTTTGAGTAAACTCAAAAGCTTCTGAAGTAGTCTTCAGTTGCACTTGGAAATTTTCCAGCCTATTTTCATGTACAAGTGTGCCTTTTTTTTTTTTTTTAAAAAACTGATTTTACTGACACAGCTCTGCTGGCAAACACTCCCACAGGAGTGTGGTTGTACCAGTACAGGTCAGCACAGCTGTGTCTGCTTTTAAGTTCCAGTTAAATACCGAAATAAGTGAGGGAGAAAAAACTTCCAATCTGCAGAAGGCCCACATTCTTAGGTGCTGCACTCAAGGATAGTTAAAGCACAGCTCACTGTCTGTGGCTCTCCCAAAGCCACAGGGAACATCACACACCAGAGCAGGAACAGCTGTGCCTTTCTGGGGTCTGCTCTGAGCTCCTGGCGCCTGGCAGGGAGCTGGACACACAACACAAGCTGGAGAAGCTCTCCTGAAAGCTGCCTAATAAAGCAAAATCAAAACAGCCATGAAAATCTCATGCATGTAACACTGATTAACTGCAGGTCTAAAGAAGACTCCTAAGCCCACGTTTTCTAAGATGCCTCAAGCCATTATCAAACCACACTTACTTAGCCCTACTTTTTTACATCGCCTAAGAACAGTACAATCAGCAGACAGGTTAAAAATTAGCCAGAGAAATTTCCAGTATAAAAATAATAAAACTTTGAGACAAAAGCCAAAGGCTAAATATCTAAGGTATCTTTAGTCTTCAATTAGCTCATCAAAACAGAAGGTATCCTTTAGAACGTATGTTACAGATATGCTACACCGTCTATCTTACAGAAATGCTACAAATGGGAACACGCTGCCTCCATCACTGGAACGTCTTTCAGATGAACACTGCCACGTGTTGGACCTTCAGCTAAGAAGTTTATTTTACAACAGTAACTGAAGACAGAAAAAAAAAAAAAAAAACAAATTAGAAAGTGCTCAGCAACTTCCCTCCAAAATAAACCCAGGCCTCGATTCCTTCTCTCAAGCCTTTGGTGACATTTGGACAAGGGCTCTCACCACATCCCAGAGTGTAACAGCAATGGGTTGTCCTAACTTGGAGCCTCAGTGGTTCATAAAAATATTGATAATATCTGCTATTAGTAAGCTCAAACAGTTGTAATTAAAAACAATTATTCTACTGTTGATCTCCAGAAGATAAGGATAGAAAGTCTGTTAGTGGAAACAAAGCAATAGTCTAATTAAAGGAAAATGAAGCACAGATTTTTCTGTAATCCCAATTTACTCTTTAAAGTCATCAGTTAAATATTATACATAACAATCTGGCACAAACCTGCCTTTCAGCCAGTGTATGTGCATTGACTCCTTTTGATCTAGGGCAGCAGTTCTCAAACTTCAGGTCAGTTCCTCTTTTTTTTTCAGGAATACTTTACAGTCCTCCCGAATACCTCCTTATACAATCACATAGAATGCATTACTTTGCATCAAATACAAAATACATTATTTGCAGACACATACACATATTCAATTCAAATATACACAACAACTACCAGCACACATACCCTTCTTTCCCTACACAAGAGTTTAGGGATCCAGGTCTGTACACAAGGGGAGTGGAGCTGCCAAAGGGAGGGCACAGAAGGTACAAAATATATCCATGAACATCCGTGCACAGGTGATGGAGGAGCAAAGGCCAAGAAGGTGCTGCTGCCTCCGAGCTCAGGCAGCTCCCAAGAGCATCAGGAACTGGGGAAACGCGTTTGTTCCACAAAAACTCTGAGAAGGAAGATGGTGGGAGACACTAAAATCCCACTGCCTGAGCCTGCAGCATCCAAGCCAAAATCTCCTGCCAGAGGGACAAAGCAGGGCCCCTGGAGATTTCTGCCAGAGCTGCCAAATGCTGGCATTCCTTCTGCTGACCCCCAGCTCTGGGCTCCCTCAGGCAGCAGCAGCTGCTCCTCCAGCGAGCTCTGAAGGGGCCTGGTGGAGCAAACAAAGGTGCTTGGGAGCTTCCAGTGGGGCAGTGGGAATGCATTGCAGGGAAAGACACGTCAGAAGAGGTATCAGTTAAAAGAACATGTGAGCTCTGCTGTCTCTTCTCTCCAGCCTCGGCAGTACCTTGTCTCGACTCTGTTCCTGGCTGAGCCTTCAGCCCCTCCCACCCAGGCATTTGGGAACCTGAACCCCGAGTGCTCCCACAGCTCCTCAGGACCCTCTCTGGACCCCCATTTGAGAACTGCTGCTCCAGCTTAACCAGCAGCGTGGGAAACTCCAAACTAACACTTAATGCCCCCTTAGTGCATAGCAGCATTCAAAGAGTAAAGTAACATGTGCTTCAGTTACCTCTGGCAGGGGTGTCAGTAGCCTGATCATGAGGATTTCGATGAGACATCTACACGGTTTATAGTATTTTACAGACTCCAAGAAAATACTATAGTGGCAGAGATGAGGGTAAGCCAGCTGCCAACCTACCCCTCACGAACAATTAGCTCAAGACTAAAAGAAACTCAGAGAGCACAACTAAATGCATAGCATTTTACTGGTACTAGTGCTTCCACAGGGCCTGTGGACACTTCTGTCTGTTCAGTCCAAACACTGCTGTATGTGGGGAAAAAAAAAACACCTTTCAGAATACAGCAACACAATCTAAAAGGTGTTTAGATTGGGGTGGGGGCTGGGGTGTTAACCTTAAACTCATTAAGATGAAGTCCACGTTGGGGAATATTTAACCTATCACAGGGTATTTCACTCCGTGTTTTTAACATGAAAAACTTCAACTCAAAGTTTTACTCAGGCTTTACCATGAACCTGTTGGGTTGTTGGAAACTACAGAGGACTACCTGGTATAAGCAAAGGAACATTTTTAAGTCCTTATGTGGGGAAAACCCCCTCAATTTACCAAAACATCACAGTAACACTCATGCCACAGTGAAGATGTTGGCATATTACTGTCAGTTCTGTGGTTTAAACCTTCATGTTCACCTCCTAGGATTCCTTCAAGGAATTGATCCGTGCACAGATTTTCAATGCAGGTCCAAGCTTAATATTCATTGCACTCATTAGGTGATCCTCCTTCAACAAAAGGAGAGCTTGTCCATCTATTTCTTGTGCTCTAAACTCATCTGCAATATCTTGACAACCTAAAAGGCAACAAAAAAAAAGGAATTATTGGGTTAAAAATGTGCATTCTTAGATGCAATGGTTCTAGCCACAATAGAGCTTTTCAGCTCCACCTTCCATTCCTGCTTTCAATTATTCCTCAGTTAAACCTATTTTTTGGCATTTCTATATTTTCCCATTTTAAATGTATACTATTACAGAGATAACAAAATTACTCTAAAGAACTCCTTTTCCACCCAGATGAGAGCAATTAATTTCATGTCCTCTTGTGTGTTCAGATTCAAATTCTAACAAGAACAGATAATCTAATTTCCTGACGGACTTACAAATGTATCCAAGACAAATGGAAAGGAAATGTGGAAGGAAGTATTGATATCCAAATCTGAATTAATCTGGGTTATTACTCTGTAAAGGTTATAACATTCAAGGCTGGGAAAGGCTGGCTTTGCACAAAGAATAAAGCACAACTTTTCTCAATGATTTCTTAAACAGACCTCATGCAACAATTAGCCCCAACATCATCATAAAGGTTTTCCTGTTGAAGTGCTGACAACAGATAAAACATCTGTAAGCCAAATATTGAGTATTCCTGTGAAAGGTATCATGGATGTCTGACTTGAAGACACTGTGATTGTCAGACCATTTATAAAGCACCTGAGAGATCAAGAGAAGCTCCTACATTTCAGAACAAAACTGGGCCTGTTCAAACAGATAACTGGATGTTGCTGCAGGTTGTTTTCCTTCCAGCAGGACACGAAGAATTTCCATGCAGCTTCTGAAATACTTTTCATCGAAGTAATTTTGGAAAAGCAGAGGATGGAAGTTGAATGGATTTCAGTTCCCTCATCCAAGCACATCTGGCTACTCTTAAGCACTTTTGCAACAGTTTGTTGTGCAATAACTTGGCTAAATAAAAAAAAAGGATGGGAAGTGGGTGACTATATCGAACAGAATAAACCCCAAAGTCGCCAATAAACATGAATGTAGCTATGGAACAATAATAATTATGGCCAGTTGTGAATATAATATTAATTGTTTAAAGAACTTTCTTAAAAATTATTAGAGAAACTAGGCTTCATATGGATGGGGATAATTATAATAAATTTTCATTAAATACAGAGAGGTATAAACATAATCAAAGATTATCTTTTTTGCAGAGTACAAAACCACCCCAGTTCCAGCTGCTGCTGAAATATTCTAAAATAATGGTTTAAAAAAAGAAACTACATTTTAAGAATAGCATTTTTTGTTTCACACTTGCAAGTGAGTTGTGCTTATCTGCCACTTCAATTACTCCAGGACGGGAACTGCCCTTTATCCAGAGCTTGGGATCAATTACTGGATCACCTGGAGCCTCAAATCCATAAAAACAGTAACTCCAACCAAGACTGATGTGACACAGCTCAGCTACAGCAACATCAATGACCCTGTCAAACCTGAGGAGCTTTGCTTGTTTTTAGAGACAACCCTGCAGGTTCCCAGGAGCAGATAATGTAACTCAGCTGCCATGAACTATCAGAAGAAAAGCACCCCAAGGCTTTTGCTGATCTAAGACAACTCTTTACTCCGTTCTTTGCCTGACCTATAAAAGATTATCTGTCATAACCCATGTGCATGGCTTAGCAGTGAGGATTTATTCCTTACAGGTTATCAGCATGGCAGGATACACAGAAAAATGGTTTAGCACACCAGAAAAGGCAGAAAATTAGGAACAAAGTTAACCTGTGTTTTAATGGGTAAGCAACAGAAATTCTGGGATGACTGCTCTGCTGTCCCCTGGAGGGATTACAGCACCTGATCAGACAGAAGGGCATCCTTGGGAAAAGGTGGAGATGACATAAAGGTAACTGTGAACATCGAGCTAAAATAAAAGGTTTGTAAATAAAGAGAAAACAGGTTGTTTTTTTTCTGAGAACAAACCATGCCTACCAGTAAGCAGAGCCTCTAGGCAGGAGTTCTCTGAGCAAAGCTGTGCAAAATAAAGTTAAACCTTACAGAAGCAACTTGCTTGTTCTTTTTTAGTGATTTGTATCGGGATAGGTCTTTCAAACTTCTCAGAAATAACACTGCTCTTGCTTTTTCTACTGAATAAGCAGCAAGTGAGGAGGGAAGAGAGAAGTGTACCAAGGAGGAAGTGTCTGACCTCTCTACTGACCTCTCGAGAGAAGTCAGACTGAAGGAAGGAACAGCTCTAATCTCCATCAGCTGGGATGCAACAGCAGAAGTGGGACTAGTTCTATCAACATGGCAATTGTGCTGAAGGAACAAGCAAGAGGAAACAAATCACATCCCAGTCTCTGAGACCAACTAAGGAGCAGCCCAGTGCTGTAACCACACCACCTCCTCACTACAGGGATGCTACAAAGCAAGAACTTCTTTGTCAAAGAACGATAGAGCAAGGTACTGCACACAACATACCAGGCAGAGAATGGATGAAGGCCCACACTTCATCCACAGTCCACACCGAGGGGTCAGACTGCACTGCTGGCAGCAGGTCGATGCTCTCCGGCATTTTGCGGATCCTCAGCTCCCGTTCCCGCTCCCTCTCGCTCTGCCTCCGCAGCCGGGTGGTCATGGCCGTCGGGACAGCGTCCTCGTGAGGAGCCAGATCCTCTTCTGCAGATGGATAAGTAATTGGAAGCTGGAAAACGCAGTACAACTGCAGTATTAGGCTTTATTTGCAATCCCCGAGGCCGTGCCATAGTTTTAAGCAAATGTTCCACAGACCTGTCTAAGAAAATGCTCTCGTGACGCCCCCTCAGGGCCGCTCGGCCGACGCCCGCGCCGCCCAAGACTTTGGCTATCTGACTTCCGATTCCAACGACTGGTCTTGTCTGATGGAAACAGCCCAAATTTCTTAGTGCAACTAAGGCTGTGCCTAAAGAAGTAAGATATATTCAATAATGCACTAATGGTCTTTTGGACTGAATTCAATCAAGCAACCGTAAAATCACAGGGTTGTAGAAATGCTGCTTCATTAAAACAACGGCTGTCACAGCAATAAAAGAGAAAGGGATCTCAGAGGCCACTTACTCAAGCCCCTCATCTTGATGCAGGATCAAGTACACCTAGACCATCCCTGGAAGATGTCTGTCCTTCCCATTCTTAAAATTTTTCCACCTTTGCATTTTATCACATAATACAGTTCCGCTTCTCCGAAATGCCCACTAAAAACCTGAAACCACGCTGCGTGTTTTGGTTCTATTTTCTCTACCTGGCTGATACCCAGTCAAAGGAGGGTGGAGGCAAAAGTCCCACGTTAAGGGGGCCAAACCCCTTCTTAAATTTATTTCACTGGTGGTGTCCTAACAAGTACCAAATGGAAAATATGAACTCCCACTGCTTAAAATGGGAATGTGGCAGACACAGAAAAAGGTCATCTCCAGGCACACGAATGCAAAAAGAAAGAGCTAAGTGGTGACTAGAAATGGGGAACTATTCCCCATTTCCAAAATCTCTGGGATTAAACATCAACTTTCCAGCTGTAACGATGGAAGACTTTACATTCAGATATTGGCTGTGAATTCTTCCTCTCTTAAGCAAGAGAGGTTAACCCATTAACCAGTTAATGATAAGCAATAATTAGACAGAGTTACCTTTTGGCACAGGATGTGGAGCAGAATCTTTTTGACCGTAGAAACTTACTGGGATACCCCATTTTCCCACAAAATTCACACTTCAGAAGTTCATTTTCGATTTCATCCAGTCCCTCTAAAGAAAGGAGTGAGGCATAAAGAAGTCAGTTGCAATGACACAAAATTATGTTCACATTTCTCACCTCAAGCAGGGAAGGAGAAGATTTTCAAGTATCTAACACATTTAGTTAAATCCTTCAGTTAACAGACAATTAGGCAAAGCTGAGCAAGCTGTAGATTTCATTCTCTGTGGAAAAGATCTTGAGCAAACTGAATCTTACTGAACCTTCAATTAAGTTGTGCAATGAATTTAATCAGTTTTTTTGCTGTATTTCAAGCCATCCATGAGCAAGTATATCCTCAAACTCAGCAAACAGTTAACTGGAGTTACAGTCCTCATGAATTATAAAGAGTTCATTAAGAGAACCAGGTCCTCCACAGTCTAAATTCAAGCTCTCCTGTAATGACATAATGCAGTAACCTTTTAAATAACCTTTGAATAAGCAATTGCTACAACCAAAGGGACTTGTGAAAGCAAGGAAAACGTTGGATCTTGGATCTGTGGAACACTGAATCTAAGAAAAAGATAAGCTGCATGTAAGAAAAAAAAAAGGGTTATGGCACCTGTGTTCATACTGAAAACTGAGTTAACATCTAGTGCAAGAAATTAAGGGCAAAATAACTATTGCAAAGAGAGCTTCAAATATTTTAGAAGATACACCAGAGGGCAAAAAGTTTATTTTGTTTGAAATATACTAGGTGAAATAAGATATTAAAAAAAAAAAGCAAAGTAGGAGGGCTACAATCCATCAATATTTCCTTCCAGAGCTGTGCTTCCAAGCTAAACCAGCTCCTACTAAAAATCAGTGCTACAAATAAAAATATATTCTTAATTTTAAGCAGAGGTACATATTGCCTGAGCAGCAAAGTAAATCACTCTCAGTCAAAAATTCCAGCCATGTTTACTTGTCTTCACTGCCAATAAATACTCTGCTTCAATTCAGAGTGCTTTCTAAAGCACTCTTCCCTGATGCAGACCTGGGGCAGCAGCAGGTACTGGAGTTGTCTCTTCTTACTCTGCTCACTGCAGTTTTTATATCAAATTAAACAGATCACCAAAACCAGCTCTGGTGCAACAGAGACTCAAATCGCAGAAGAGCAAAATCCAGAGGTAGCTAAAAAATTCTGAAAAAAATGTGTGTTTACAGAATAATTTGGCTTTTCTAGGGCAGGCCACAGTTTTTGATTTCCACACACACAAGACTATCTACATCTGGGTTTGAACAGTAACAGTGGTGTTACACATCCCAAATAGTTGACTGCTGAGTTGTAAGAAGTCCATGATGATGATTGAGTTGGACACTGCATGGGGAACTCAGTTTAGCTCATGAGTTGTGCTGGAGGTCACTGCATTCTAAGCAGGACAAGTGCATAATGTCTGGACATTTGTGTTGCTGTGTAGTGAGCAAAAAAAACACTTGAAAATAGTTTATATGAAAGACAGTGTGAAAACTGGAGGAAGATTCCAGAAGTACAGACAGGATGGGATTCTGTACTACACACAAAACTGAAGGGGAAAAAGTGGATATTTAAACAAACGCCACAGACCTTCTGCAATCATATCCTCGATCTCGGTGTCCGATGAGTTGTCTGCGTGTTTTGTGTTCTGCAGGTCTGACTCCACACACACAACACTCATGATCTGACCCTCCACCAGCAACCTTTTCTCTGCAGGCTGTTCCACCAGCAAAGATGAACGACTGACCTATTGCAACAAAAGCAGAGCAACAGGGAATTACTAAAAATGGTATTTGTGACTTAGCAGTTGCACCTGAGAGGATGTCCAGTTTCTACTCCTTATCCATGAATCATTCCGTGGTGCCAAAGCTCCAAATGCCATTCCTCCAACAAATAAAGACTCACTTCTGCTCTGCAGACTGCGCAATTACATTTACCAAAGGAAGCAGCACATTAGACCTACACAACTGAAGGAATGGTGAAATGAGATGCACAATAAATTAGTTAATGAGGCAGGTTTTAAATTGGCTGTTTGTGGACAGGACTAATCACACCCAGCCCACTAAGGAGTTTGCCAGTGCTTTAAACAACAAGTTGTAACATTTTGGAATTTTAACACAGACTCAGCTCTGAGCTTTAAATTAAGGTACCACTAAAACTGAGGGATCTTGGAGACAGACAAATGAAAACCATTACTCCAAACATAAGCCTAAAATCACTCTCTGCAGGTATCTCCAGATATAACTTACTACTCAACTCACCAGTCAGCGGAAAAAAGGTCAAAACCAACATCTGAAAAATAATTCAAGATCTAAACACCTACTAGCCACAAATATCATCCTTACAAACAGTTTGTTTGAAAGATTAGTAATAAAAAATTCTTAGCAACTTCTACACTCACAGGGAACGGCTCCAACCCCTCCTGGATCACAAAGCCCTCGATGACGTGGGTCAGGATCTGGGGTTTGACAATAGCCTGAGGAGGTTTATTTTCCAGGCTAGGAATGCTGGTGGGCATTGAGGTGCTGTTGCTCCTTGTCGTTGCTGCTGGAAGCAAAAGAGGTGGTGGTGGAATAGAGGCATGTGAAGGGTCAGACGGAGATTTAATTACTGAGGCACTGACTGATGATGTCACTGAAGGCAGCCCCCCGTGATCTGAAAAAGATAACAAGGATGTTATGTTGTTATCACTCATGTCCAACCACTGCTACCTTCGTTGGACACTCGTCCTCACCTGACAGAGGATCATCTGAATTCAGGGCCTCTCCATTCCCCAGGGTTATGGCTGGTGGGGACAAGGTGGGGGGTGTGGGTGTTCTGGCCATGTGCACGCACTCGGAGTCCTCGGGCATCTCTTCCTCACACACATTCTCCACTTGGTAAATCTGCACCCAACAAACTATCGCTTTAGACAGATTTCCATTCTATCCTAATACCTTAAAAGAGTTGCATAAATACAGTTTTTTAAATAAATTACCAGTTCAAATATGCTACTCTCCTAATAAAATACTAGTTTCCAAACTGCACACCTAACAGTGAACTTTGAGGACATCACAATGTCTATGAGAGCAAAATTAAAGTATTTTGTTACAAACAGCAACATATAAAGAGAGCAGAGAACTCGACTTTTTTGATATCTTATCTGTACAGCTGACTGTATTTTTATTTACACACACATTTGATGCTATTTAAACACATCTACAGAACATGAGTTTAATGACAAGACTGTAGATTGTTGTCTGACTTATTCAGCAGCATAATCAAACTCAGCATTTCAGAAGAGTACACCAAGACTAGCAAGCATTAGTATTTATAAGAGACTTTAAACTATTTTCCTCAAAACTATTAAATTTACATGAATTACTGACAGTCAGTTGAGCAGATTAAAATGTAAAACACTGCCTTTCAAAAGCAAACCTCATTTATACTCTTTTGCCTGATTTCTAAATGAAATATCACAGTTGAGATTATTAATTGCTAACATAAGTTAAAAATGAACACCACACCTCCTTTCTTAACCTGTTGATAGCCCAAAAAAAGCCTACAGGACCTGCTGATTCTTTTTTATCTTTAAACATACTGCAACTTCATCAAAAGATAAGATTTTAAGTTCTATATTTGCACTTCCATGATTCCTGGTTGATATTCTTGATTGATGATCCATTACAAAGAGCCAACAGAAAATAAACCACAGGAAAAACGTCTATCTGTAGTCAACAGTTTTCTTCTTGTCCTGCGTCTGGCACCTGCCTTAGCTCCCTCTGAAGTCAATGGTCCAGAAACACAGCCCTGGAGAAGCCCAGGATAAAGAATAAAGGATGCAATGTTACCACTTACCACTGGAGTTTCAATGGGCACCGACGGCTGCACCTGCAGATTGACCGCGACCGTCTGTGGCGGTGGAAGAGTTTGAAACGGCAGCTGGACCAGAGCTTCTGCAGCGGGAAGTTCTTCCTCAGAAACCAAAGTGTTCTGAACCAAAACCTGGCCCTGGGACAGAATTTCGGGCTGCACTTGTAAGGACTGCACAGACTGCAAGGGCAGCGGCTGGATCTGGGTGGACGAGGCCGAGAGCTGGGGAGGAGCCGCCAGAGGGATGGGAGCGGACTGCAGGGCGGGGTACTGCTGGTGCGGCGCGGAGGGCACCAGGCCGGGCTGCTCCACCGCCCCGATGTGCACGGCGGGCGAGGGCGGCAGCGGCAGGTGGGGCGGCAGGCTGAGCGGCGGCGCCCCCGGGCGCACCGGGGTGCTGGCAGAGGCCGCGGGGGCCGCCGGCTCCGGCTGCAGTGCCGCCGGCACCAGGGAGCTCGCCTGCGACTGGATGAGGGCTTGGGGGTGAATGATTATGGTGGGGGACTGACTCGGGGAGTGGGACGGCGGAGGGGACACCACCACCGACTGCTGCGCTGACGGCGATGGGGTGGGAGAGAGCGTTAGAGGCGGGGGATGCAGGTGGATCGGCGAGCAGTGGGACGGGACGCTGCTGGCAGCCGAGGGGAGCCCGTGGCTCGGCAGGGGCAGGCAGTGCTGGGAGGGAGGTGGCTCCTGGCCCGAAGGAGTCTGGAGTGCAATCGGCTGGACTTGCTGCTGCTGCTGCAGTATCAGCTGATGATGGGAAATCTTTGGAGGTGGTGAATGAAGTGGGATCTGCTGATGCTTTACTAGAGAATGAGGTTGCAATGGAGAATATGAAGCTGGAAAGGAAAAAAAAAAAAAAGCACAGCTGACAATTAGTATTTATGTCTCCAAATCCTGAAAACGTTATAAAATACTTCAAAAAGTTTTCACTTTAAAGATCAGCACAATTTTTTCAACACTTAAGATACATGTGTAGAAGTATCTTCTTGGACAGCAGGTAGTACACAAGAACAATTCATTAGGGGAATATATCCATTTCCAAAGCAAGATGCAGCAATGAATAAAGAAACGTAGCCATGCTTTTTACATATATGTACTTTTTAGATAAAAGTACATAAATTTATCTTTTTGGAGCTAGTTCTAAGATTATTATTGATCCAACCTATGTTTATTATGTAGGCTTATGTTTATTATGTAGGCTTATATTTATTATGTTTATCTATTTAAGCCGATCCAGTTTATTTAAGAATTTTATGCGACTTTAAATGAATTTAACCTTTGCTTTGAAACAGACTGGAATAGAAATTATAAGCATGTCACAATCAGCAGGATTTGTTGATAACTGCTAACTTAAAAGTTTACTTAGTCTCTAAAAATAGCATTATCTAAAATTCCAAGAATTCAGGATAAATTTAAGCCATTGAAAATATTTGCCTGAACTTGAACAAACTGAGAGGTACAAATCTAAAAACAGTGCAGCTTCCAGAGATACCACCTTTAAGTGAGCCAGTGACTCACCAGTGATTCCTTACAGCATACACATTGTCCTCCACATCCATTTGTGTTGTCCACTTGAGAGAAAACTCATTTATGTATTTTTTTTTGTGATTTATTGTGCTACTTAGGATGGATTTTTTCCTTCCCAAACTGAGCTCTGGGAGCGCCAGGGCTCAGTACCTACAGAATGTCGGCCTCCAAGTCCCACTCTTCCTCTAAAAGCTGCCATCAGCCAAGCTAAATTCCACAGGATTCAGATCAATTGTCTAAACTACCCTCACTCTTCCAAAATAAGGATGCCCAGATGCAAATAAGGGGCATGCAATGGAAGTGCTTATCTAACCAAGTGCAGGTTATTTACATTTCTCTCTTAATACAAAATACTAAGATTCTGAGCATTATTTACCTATGGATTTATAAAGGCACTTGATACAGGAACATTCTGATGACACAGACAAGGCAGAAAAAAAGCCAAACAAACACAAACAAATAGATTTTGATGAGAGCAAGAGGCTTGAGGTGGTTTCAGCGCCCAGAGACTGGGGATGACAACAAGTGTACAGAGAGACCAGGAATGAGAATCATGTTTGTGCTGTGATTCAGCTGTGCATTGCAATTGCCATATTCCTGCATCACTGCCTCTGCTCAGTCAACATCCTGTGCCAACACCCAATATCAACAGTAAATAAATTTACTATTAAAATTTCAACTCTATTCATCTGGAGTATCTGAAAACTCCGCCAGAGAGCACTGAACTCTGACAGAACCGTGCACACACATTATCTGAATGACAATCAGATCCCCGTGGTTCCATTTCCCCCCTACCTGGTGTTATCAAGTGGTGGATGCTGGACGTGCGTGTGACCGGCGTGCTCCGGCACTCCGGGCTTGGGCTCTCGCCTTTCCTATTGCTTTCGTTGGGATCTGCTTGGCTGCCCTTGGAGCTGCTGACGGGTTTACTGGGGCACAGGGACAGTGACTGGCTTTGAGTGCTGCTCTTTGGTGGGCCATTCTGGGAACTTGACAGCACACCCAGCTTCTGACTGCGCAGCGTCAAGTTCTGAACCTGGGAAACGAGCAAAACGTGAAAAAACAGCAAAAAAAATATTACATTTTGTGATGCTTCTCATCCTCTGTGATCAAAAGAATCTAAAAATCTGCATATCAAGGTATCTTTTAAGCCACAAAATTTAGAGGAGGATAGGGATCTTTATTACTTTGGCGATAAAGAAAACACAGAAAAGTCTTTCGTTCCTTATTGAACTTCCAAAAGTAATGGAAATTTTTCGTTAATTTGAATTAAAACTTTCATTTTTGTCTTTTACTGTGCCTTCAAAGTGAATGACCGAAAACATCTTAAGCAAAAGCAATTTTATTTTCATCCAGACACTGCACAAGTGCGGTGGTCTGTGCGTGAGCTTCCAGACAGCACCATAAAGCAGACCTTGGGTGGTCAATGGGATCAGAATCTGCTCTGTGTTATCCATGCATGAACAAAACTGAAACCTTTGTTTCTACAGTGATATTTAATCTACCTTTTCCTGACACCTCCAGTGTCACCTGAAACAAGAGGTCAGAAATTATTTTTATTGAAGTCTGTTACGTCACAGCCAGATTCTGTACAGAGTGATCCCAGATCTCCAATCCTACATGCTAAGCTAGAATTTTATTTTCAAGGGTAACGACTTGTGCACTAATTTACACCATATTTACATGAAAAAGATTTTTACCACCAGCCACTATTTTGATCACATGATCCCTTCCTCACTCAACATTTAGCACAGCCAGTTTACACTTCACTTCTCAGTGCTCAGTGTGTCCCCCACAGGACACGCTCAAACCCTGTTGTGAATGCAAGAGTAGCTGTTTCCTCACTGGATGCATTTACTGCAGCCCTACCCCTGTGAGCACAACTCAACCTTCAGCACCTCTCCCCAGATAAGGTGACCCAACTGAGATATCCATGAGGGGGGAGAGGAACAGCTAGAGTTTGGCAGGAGCTCCCCAGCAGCTCAGCTGCTCTAAGGTCTGGGCTGAGTAATTTTTATAAGCACACAGTGATTCCTTCCTTTTAATTTCTGGCCCACTCTACTGCACAGACCTTCCACAAGTTTACACAGGCTCACCTGAGTAGCTGCAGACTGACAGGAAGATGAGGAGGAGGATGAGACAACAGGAATGTCAGACTGGACAGCAGCCACAGTGGTCGCAGGAGTAAAAATAAGCTGTTAAGCAAGAAAAAAATATATGCCAACAGACTGAAATGTTTAAAATCTGTAAAAGAAATGCAGCACCTTAAGAAGATACATAACTTACATGTACTGATGCACAGATTCTAAGATTCACTTTTTTACTGTTAGATTAACTTACTCAAAGAACCCTTTACCGTGGCAGTTTTAAGTATATAAAACTAAAAGATAATAATTTAAAACATTTGTTCTGCATGTTGAGAAAAACCTTTGAGATTTATAAATACACCTGTGATACGTTATATGACTTCTGTAATATTACAAACGGGTGAAACAAAGGCAAGAGAGCAGCCCAATATCTACTGGAACAAAGGAAGACAACTCAGATCTTCCAGTGCCACAACGTTATTTAACAAGCAGAGCTGTGGAGACAACAGGGCTGGACCTGAGCCACTCTTACTGCCTGTAACCCACACTCACCATCTGAGCTCGCAGGTACATCTGAGCCTGGCTGGCACTCAGGGTGGGGGAGGTGCTGCCCAGCAGCATGGTCTGCTGGGTGATGCTGCTGCTGGTGGTGTTGGAGGTCTGAGAGCGGCTTATTATCTGTGCAGGTGTGGGAGAGGTGGAGAGGTTAATCTAAGGAAACAAAAATATTGCTTCTGTCATGGAAATTCAGTCGTCCTACGGCCTAAAGCCAGAAAGGCTTTGACAAGCATGGCAGGGGCAGCTGAAATCTCTGAACTGCAAAGGTATCAAGAATATACTGAGCCAATCGTCACAAAACTGAATTCTGGCAAGATTGTTCGTTTTGGTTCTTAAACTGCAAGCAACCACTTTACAGTAAATAATAATAAGCCATTATGACTATAAACAATGACAATATGAAGTCTGAAAAATATACCTCATAGAAATACACATTTACAGAATAAGTAGCATGAGCCTACAATATTTTAACAAAAACACACGAATTTTAATATTGAAGTATTTTTAAATGTTTTTATTATCTGCCTGGACTGGTATCTTCTGTTAGGTTTGTTATGCAACCTCTTTAGGATAATTCTTTGTGCCACCACATATGGACTTGAAATCGTCATTTTACATATGCACATTGAAAAATGACTGAAGACTACAACTTTTTCTAATTTCACATTAAATGCTCCTCAACAACTGCTCTGTAGCATCTTCTCAAAAAAAAAAAAAGCTGTTGTGGTTTTCTTTTTCTTTTTTTTCCTTTTCTAACCAGTCTAACAGAGTTAAGTGCCCAGCTCTTTTTCATCACTTACTTAAAAGATTTCCTTGAAAAACCCCAGCCCAATTATTCTGTTAGTTTAACATCAGACATCTTTAAAGACTTTTCCCTCCTAAATTTAATGAATGAATGATTTTACTTCTAACAACTGTAAGCCAAGCCAAGCTATGAGAGCTTAAAAAAATACACAGTTAAATCACCGAAGCTATGCACTGGAGTCATGAACAGCTCGAGGGGGTGATTAATAAGCAGGATGTCTGTAGGACTAACAAATCCTACGCCAGACAACTGCAGAACTGTAAAGACTGTGCAAATTATATGTCTGAAGATGCCACTGAAAGAAATAACAGCATGAACTGAACACAGAGTTGCTCACAACTGAGACCTGAGCACATGCCTAGATTATGGGAAGTGAAAGTGCAAAAGAGATGCATGATAAAAGATGATAATCAATAAAATAATGAATGCCATAAACATTTAATCAGTTTCATAAATATATGTGAGCATTGACTTGGATTCTTTATATTCAGTGATCTTTAATCATGGGTACACAGTTAGGATTTTAATCTACTGTAGTGCCCTCAATAAAGAAACTAATGTGGGAAATCCAATAAGAAATTGAGTAAGAGTATGAGAGCTCAGAGAGTGACTCCTGCAGGAGTTTGAACAATCACTGGTGCTTGTGGAGTGGGCAGCCGCCCCTCAGAGCAGCAGGAAGGGTCTGGGACTGGAGAAGCCAACAGTGGCCAGCAACAACAGCAGCCAGCACCCAACACTTACTACAGAGTCGTTCACTGTGTCTGCAATACCAATTTGAACTGTGCAGTTTTAAATCCTGAAGTATTTCTGTCTCTCCCAGGAGCCAGGGAAGAACCGAGCAGGGTTGGGGACGGAGGGAGGGCTGTGTCCAGTTACGTACCGAGGTCTGCGACATGCTCGACTGCTGAGTGACACTCCCAGGGGGGGAAGAACATTGCCTCCCACCTGACAGGCTTGCCTAAATAGCAAGAATAGGTGTCAAATATTGAAATCAGAAAGGTTTTAAGTGTTGTTCATATTATTGCATAAACCATGAGAAACATCCCTCTCTACCTTTACCTTTTCTCTGAGTTAACAGTAAAAAGAGTTTTCTCAGTGGAAATAGTTTTCAGCCAAGTGCACTCTGCACTATGGGATCCTATCTGCAAGGTGCTAAATTCCTTGAATTCCTACCCAATTTGAGGCACGAAGGTTCTTTCAGATCAAGACTTGAATAAAAACTACCAGAGGTAAAGTCAAGCTGTTAATGATGGAGTTTACTGGTCAGCTCACCACCTGTGGTGCTCGGATCTTAAAATGTGACATCATTGAAAACTGACATTGTTAAAACTCACTAACATTTTTACTGTAATTAAATTCCTCAAAAAATAAATCAAGCCCTAGAAATGCTGTAAAGAACACCCTCCTATTCTAGAATGGTAAATTATGGATGCACATTTAGAGTGTATCACAGCAGGCTATTCCAGCCCTTCTGATGATACAGGGACAGGATTTAGGTTTCTGTGTGAACAGACCAACACCAAAACCTCTCAGCCTCCCCCAGCCTGCTTTCCTTTGCTCTGTCTCAGTAACTGGGTATCCACACACAACTCTGTCATAACAAAAAAAGACAAATCAATATATTACCACAATCTAATGAAAAAGGCATAGAAGGAAAAGCCAGCCAGGAGCCAAAAAGAGCCAGTCCAGTTCTGACACCAAGCAGCCATTCCCCTGAGGTCTTTAACTCCATGTTAGCATTTCCATGTGTAAATTCATTAACAACCACCTCTCTCTCTGCAAAATCATATTCTCAATCTAAGGTCAACTGAGGTCAAAGGAAATCTCGCCACTGCTTGAGTTCAAAATGGGTCTCCTCCAGTGCTCACTAATGTTAAAAGCTGTGTTTCAGAAACGAAATATCATTTACCTCCTACATTTTCACACTCAGAGTTAAAACTGAATTTTGCTATTACTTGTAATGCAGCCAGATGTGAGGCAAAACGCACTAAGATGTTCATTACTTTCATTTGATTTCACTAGGATACAATGCTATTCATTGCTTTCCCCATCAACATTTAGAGAAAATCATGGGATGAAGATTGAAGTAGTCTGTTTTTAATATTTATTTTATTACTGCTCGATGATTTACATGAAGCATTATAATGCATGCAATAAAGCATGGAATGGTTGCCTACTGGAGCATCTATACCACTGGACAAAACCCTCCAAGCAGTCTGGAGGAAGATACACTTTAAAATAACAATGTGATTAGAACATAACAGTGAATTATGGTGAGGCTTTAAGCTCAGGCACTTAAGCTGTTATTACGTTTGACAGGGACCGTAGCCCTGCTCTAGATAATACACCGTTCTTTGTCAGCAATCTTCACTCTCACCTGTGGAACAGTTGCCAGACTCTGAAATTGGGTACTGCTTAAGTGCTGCTGCTGCAGAGCAGCAGTCTGCAGCATTAGATGCTGCTGTTGGGCTGCATACATCTGCTGGAGGTACTGAGCAGCTGAGCTAGGAGGACGATGCAAGGCCTGCTGAATAACCTGTGGTGAATCAGTAGGTAATTAATTACAATTACAAAGCACACACCATGCTGACATGATGTTGAAGTTTACCTTTACAAGGAGACACAACCAAATAAATTCTTTTCACACCAGTTATGTAATGCTGAACTTGCTCCATCACTGTTCTTACTAAAGAACAGTATATTCAGTATATTTATGCTCTCAAGGACAGCCTGACAATACAGCATCATTCCCAACACAACATCCCAGCCTCTCAGCTGCTTGTCAACACATCCTACATCATGTTCTGCTTTTTGAGAGACCCAATTATCAAACCCAACACAATGGACTGTACAGAGTTCAAGGAGACCTGATTTCAAGAGAAGCAAGAGGGGGCTGGATCCCACACATATACCTCTGGATTCTTGCAGTCAGTGTTGCTCAAACAGCTTTATTTTGTATATATTTTTGTATTATGTTAATAATCCACACCCTCAGCACGGGATGAACCAACCAAACTTTCTAGCGTAGCACTTCCCCCCTCCCTTATTTGGGAGTCAGGTCTGTACCCTGCACTATCCTTAAGTGGTGTGATATCCTTCAGTAGACAACATCTGAAAATGATGTCAGCTGTGCAGACAGACAACAGCAATTAAGACTGGAAAGTTAACCCTGTGTAAAGTGTTGTGCAGTGCCTGCACTCAGAGCTCTGTACAGGACAGGGGAACACCCCACAGCGCAGTACCTGGACAGCATGTCTGTCGGAGCCGCTGTAGACGGAGATCTGCGGGAGCGCGGGGCGGGAGGTGGAGGTGGTGGTGACAGTCGTGGTAGGTGCAGAACACGTTGTTGTGTTTGGTTCATTCTCCATCGCTGTGCAGCGCCCGCCCAGCCTGGCAGCACAGAGAGAACACTGATCACAAACACAGGGCCAGCACACCGTGATGTTCAACACAAAACCCTGAAGTTTTGCTGAGATAACAGAGTGTTTTTAAATGGATAAGATTTATAGCATCACAGAATGATTTGGGTTGGAAGACACTGTAAGTTCATCTCATCCCAACCCCCTTCCACTGGCCCAGGTTGCTCCAACTTGGCCTTGGACACTTCCAGGGATGGGGCAGCCACATCTTCTCTGGGCAACCCGTGCCAGGGCCTCCCCACCCTCACAGGCAACAATTTCTTCCTAACACCTAATCTAAGGTTGTACTATTTGCTATTACTTGATGAAATTTACCGAGAAATGTGGTTATAATCTTAGATCCATCAGAAGTTGCAGTAAAGAAGCAGCTCAGGAATACATGCAAGATTTCCAGCCAGCTACAAAGGAGTGCTGCCATGTCCTGTTCCCTCACAGCCCAGCACTGAACTGCTGGTTTATCCTGGGCAAAGGAGCAAAACCTGCTCTGGGTAAAAGTCACTGGTGGCATGTTTTGTTTGGAAAGAGAGGGGAAGAACACATGGGAAAAAAAATGCTTTTTACAGCAATATCTCACACAAGATAGCAAGAACCAAGGAAGAAACTACCTATCTAATCAGCTCAGATGATGCTCCCCAGCCTGATGAGAATTCCCTCTGCTGCAGAGTACAATCTCTCTCCGAAAACGTCATCTTTAAAACTGAAATGAATCCCAAACCTCAATACACGAGGGGTGTTTACTTTGGTTTCTTTTTCAGTCTTAGTACTATAATTAACAGGAAACAGCATAGTAGCTGTTTATTGCTCTTAGAAGGATGTTAATAAAAGGAAGGGGGAGGAAGATGTGTTTCCTTCTTACCATAAAGAAGGGCTCAGAGAAATCATCAGAGAGAGCTGCAACATACTGGGAAAAAAAGCAGCTTTGCCAAGTGCTTAACAAACCACCCATTGGATGCTGCATCAAACGGGAACATAATTAGGAGTTTCAGCTCTCACAGCTGGAAGCAGAACACTACAGTGCCAAGCTTCACCTTCACCTCCCAAAACACAACTGCTCTGCCAGCAGAGCTGCACGTGATGCTCCAGCTCCTGGGTACCTGCAAGAACTAAACTTTAACAGATACACAGTCACCTAAGGACCTCTTGCTCACCATCATATTGGATCCTGGCATGTATTTTGCCATCAAACAAAATTCATGGCAATGAAGGATGCCTTAAAAGTAGAGATTTCCCTGCTATTAAAACTGAAGGAAGCAGTGTGATCTGCTGTTAAAAATTCAGCCGTGCATCACTGATGTCATTTGTCTGCCTACATCAGGGCACAAATTAACACACAGGGGTTACCACCCCAACTGCAATAAAACCAGCATCACTTCTAAAACCACTTTACATTACCTTCACATCATGAAAAGTACCTCAAAAAAACCCAGTCCCGTCTCCTCCAGAGGACATTAAAAGCACTTCAAAATATTTACAGCTACAACTTGTCTAGCTAGTTTTTGCAAAGTTATGCAACCAGTTAAATGAGCCTAAGAAAACAACACTGGATGTATCATTTCCTTCATTCCCAGCCACATTTTTGGATGTGTTATAACCAAGATGTGCGACATATCCCACTTGCTAACTATTCCATCACGAGCTCACCCCCTGAGAGCTGTTAATCCTTGAGCTCCAAGTGTCTCATTTTCAAAAATAACGCTCTGTCACTGCCCAAGTTGTTCCCATAACGGATGTACAACAAAAACAGGAAAGAGCTCCTAAAATTCTGCCCAGCATCTCCTCTGACACCAAACTTCAAGCAGGTATGAGACGCTAACTTGGAGTAAAATTACTCATTTAATGATGAAAACCTCGCAGTGATGCTCCCGAGCAACTGTAACTTAAAAGAGCCTCCGTAATGCAAAGTAAGTTTTAGAAAATGCACTAAAGTGACTTTAAACAACCACTATGCATTTAAGCAAGCCCAAAATACAAAGCACAACAGAAAACTATATTGAAAATAAGTGTTTATTCAAGCAGTAACATTACAGGATGCCACATAACTTCAAACTACTGTGCATAACGTAAATATTCAGAAGTTTTCTTGCTTTATATTTTTTTGGTGAAATCAAACACCTGAAATAAAAAAATATCTGCTATTCTATGCCAGTAAGGTGAAACTACCTTCACAGTGGACACGGATGTCACTACTCATGTTTTAGAAAGTTTTGGTAAATGCCATGGTACTAACAAACACTGCCAACAATCCGCAACCGTAACTGTTATCTAAAAATAGTCGTGGTTTGTTTTTTTTTTTTTAATATATACAGTTTATTCTTATTCTTTCCATTCACAACCTCCTGCTACAACTCCAAGGGTACAAACCACAAAAAAACCACTCCCAAAAAACCGGAAAATTTCCTCCAAGCCTAACCACCCACAGGCATTTTGGTATGTGGCAGAAGGCACTAAAAGAAATAATAATGAAAAAAAAATGGCAATAAAATGACAATAAAGCAAATAACGAAGGTATGCTCTGTGGGAATACACCCCACGCCACGCCGTGAACCGGCCCCGCGCTGAGGGGGCCCCCGGGCCCCCTCGCCGATCGCCCCCCGCCCGGACCCACCCTCAGCCCCCGCCTCGCCCAGCCCAGCCCGGCCCCGCCGCCGCCGCCGCCCCCTCAGGGGAGGAAAGGTGGGCGGGCGGGGCCGGCCCGCCGCCGGGGCGCGGTCAGGGCGCGTGTTCCCCGCCCCCGCGGCCCGGCCGGGGCCCCGCGGCTGCCGCTTTACCGCGCCCCGCGCGTCCCGCCGGGACACTCGCCTGGGACGCGCCGCTCAAGGCGCCGCCGCCGCCGCCGCCATTTTCTCGCCTCCCTCACGGGGGAGGCGCCGCGCGCGCGCGGGCCGCGGCCGCCGCCGGGCACGTGACGGGGCCCGCCGCCATGTTGGCGCTGCCCGTGAGGGCCCGGGGCTGAGGGGATCCCGCGCGGCGGGGTCGGGGGTTTGGAAAACGCGGTGTTCTCAACCAAAATAACCTACTGATTTCCATGTATTACAAAATAGGAGACTCTTTCAAGCCCCTCTTACATTTAGCAGCTGTTGCTTCGATGCTATCAGCAGGTTCTCGCTCTTAATCACAGCACAAGCTGTCCAACTTTACTTTTTGAGGTTCTGCTTGCTTCATTACACCCTTCCTGCCACCCATCAGCTCGAAGCACTGGGTGAATATGAGTTAAAACAGTATCTCCGGTCTCTCCTGCATCACTGATACATGTGCACTTTTACAATGCATACAGTGTTTGGATGTATTTGGATGCCTGTGAGAGGCGCCTTCAGGATAAAGCCCCTGGAACCTCCTTGCCCATCACCACAATCACTGTGGCAGCTGTGCTAGGGGATCCCGGAATGGACTTTTGAGATTCCATTTGGAATGGACTGCACAGGGAGATGGCGGAGTCACTGTCCCTGGAGGTGTTTTTAGGAAAGACTGGAGGTAGCACTTGGTGCTCTGATCAAGGTAACACGGTGGGTTTTGGTCATCGGTTGGATTCGATGATTGCAGAGGTCTTTTCCAACCTAACTGATCCTGTGATGCTCCTGAAGGGGATGGGGACGTGGGAGCAGGGCTGGGGGATGCCCTGGCAGCTGTGGGATCACCGTGAGGCAGTGACCGGCTTCGTACCAGTGCAGTGAGGTTGTGGTGAGGGTCCCAGTCTCCATCACAGCCACAGCTCTGCGTGTGGAGCTGTGTGCTCATTCCAGTTATTGTCCATAAAATCAGGCTTGTTCCCCAGCGTGCAACAAGCCAATAATGACACACTTGAAAGTGACATGGGTTATTTATTTCAGAGATGCCCAAGCCCAGATGCTTGGTGGTATTCCACAAAGCCAGCTCACCCCACTGTCATTTATACACAGAAGGTCGGATATAGTCACTTCCCAAGCACAGCCCCTCTGTTGGAATCAAAGAATCCCATATAACACTGCCTTGGAGCTTTCCCTGCTATGGAGAAGACCAACCCTCCCCCTAAATTAAACATGATTCACCAGAATTGAATTATGTCAATAATTCCAGTCTGAAGTTAGCAGCTCCTTCATACTACCAGGCATAGATGAGCAAAGCCCAAACTCTCCAAAGACAAGCAGTCACTCCACCCCGCAGACCCAATTAAAATTTTACGTGGGACATCTTGATAAACTCATCCCTCTTCATGAAATATATTTCTGTGATGAAGCAACATCTTCTGTATCTTAGAATTATGCAACGATATTACACAGCCTCAGCTATACCAGTGTTTCCAAAGATGTTGTATTCCCAAGGATACAGAAGTACCCTTGGAGATCCAATAGGAAGTAGAAAACATGTTGGAAGTCTTGGTGCAAGATATGGGTGAGCTGAGGTAGAGCAAGGCACTTCCTCTTGTACAAATAGGATGTAAGACTCTGTGGATGCTGGGTGGAGCAAATAACTTGCTTCTGGGGAACAAAAAAACCCAACAAATCCCTGCAGGAAGGTCAGGTAGCATAAAAAAAAAAATAAATCTGTACTTTGCAACCACAACTAAAGGAAACAAGGCCCTAAGTTGTTTTATCACAAACATAAGGAAGAGCCAAGTGTGTTGATTTGCAAGTGCAGATCTTACCCAGCAGCCTGAACTCCAGGGTGCTCCAATGCCAACATCCAGATGTGATGCTGATTGGAGGGGGCAGTGGGAAAAAGGAATTTGTCCTACTGTAACAAGAAAACAAACATTCTCATTTTCTTAGGACTGCAGGAAGCATCGCTCAGTTCAGGAAGTGCTGGGCAATAAATGTGTGTTGTCAAAGTTATTGATGTTAAATAGGCAAAGCTGAGGGGAAATACTGCTTGCAGTGATAAGGTGGCTTATGATTAACAGCTTTAATAAAATACCTTTTGTTAACCTCTTCACCCTCTTGGTTAAAACAAATCCTTCATGTTACTTTTCTAAAAAAAAGTGCCTATGGGAATTAAAGCTTCACCTGAACTGACCGTATTGTCTTGAGGGCAATGCACGTTGTACAGTCTTGAGAATTCCCACAGAAAACACTTTGGTCAGTGGTAATTGTAAGAAATGCGTTGCCATCAGTTCTGAACAGCTCCTGCTGCCCATCAGCTCTGCACTGGCTGCTTTTAGCATGGATTTCTGCCAATGTCCTGAATTTTCTGTCACCTCCCAAATCAGGTTGGGAGCAGCCACAGCAGTGGAGGAGTCGTGGTGTGAACAGATTGCAAACGAACTTAGTTAGATGTGTCCAATGCTTTTATTCCTGGCATTGGGATGGTAATGATGGGTTTGGTTTCATGGGATAGCTCAACTGGAGCCTGGCCCACAGATGGGGAGCTGCTCCCAGCCAGTGCCTCTACAGGCATTTCTGGCTCTTTCAGCCTTAAAAGAACAACAACAGCAGAATGGTTTGGGTTAAAACATTAAAGATCATCTCGTTCCAAGCCCCTGCCACGGGCAGGGACACCTTCCACTATCCCAGGATACTCAGAGCTCCATCCAACCTGGCCTTGAACGCTTCCAGGGATGGGGCAGCCACAGCTTCTCTGGGCACCCTGTACCAGAGTCTCACCACTCTCACTGGGAACAATTTTTTCCTAATATCTAATCTTAACCTACGGTTTTTCAGTTTAAAGCAATTACTGTGTGTCCTGTCACTCCATCCCTTGTCTAAAGTCCCTCTCCAGTTCTTTTGGAGCCCCTTTCGGAACTGGAATGGGCTCTCAGGTCTCCCTGGAGCCTTCTCCAGGCTGAACATCCCCAGCTCTCCCAACCTGTCTCCAGAGCTCCAGAGGGGCTCCAGCCCTCGAATCATCTTCACGGCCTCCTCTGGACTCAATCCATCAGCTCCATGTCCTTCTCGTATCCAGGATCCCGGAGCTGGAGGTAGCACTGCAGGTGGGATCTCCCCAGAGCAGACGGGGAGAACCCCTCCCTCGCCTGCTGCCCACGCTGCGGGGACGAGCCCCGTCGGTCCGTGGGTAAAACGAGTTTCCCACCTTGGCTCCCTATCCCGGCGCTGCACACCCAACACCTCCCCACATCCCGCTCCGCTCCCGCCGCGCCGGCGCCACGGCCCCGCCATGCCCCGCGCCGGGCCGTACCAAGTGCCGGGGAGTTGTGTGTGCACCGCGGTGCCGCCCCCGCCCCGGGCGCAGCGGGGAGGGCGGAGGGACCGTCCGGCGGCTTCGAACCCGCCCTACCGGGAGCGGCGGCGGCGGCGGCTCCGCCACTGCGGGCCCGGTTACCTGCGCTCCGCCGCCCTCCGCCGCCCCCCCCTTCGCTCTGGGGTGGAACATCCCGACCCACAGGTGTGGAGTCCAGCCGGGGAGAGCCCACTCAGCTCGCGGGGGAGGCGCACACAGGGTGCTGTCACCCGCGTCTCGGTGCGGCGGAGCTGCCGCCCTGCCCCTCTCGGAGCGACTCCTCCGGGAAAAATCTCGCGCTCCCCTCCGGTGCCGCCCCGCGAGGCTCCGCGCTCTCCCCACCCCGCTTCTCCTGCGCGCTCCCCCCCGCCCCCCTCCCCGCGCGTGGTGCCGCCCGGCGCGGGCGGGGCGGGCTGAGGCGCGGGGGTCGCGCAGCCGCCTCCGCCCGGCCCCGCTCCCGGAGCCTCCCTGAGGATCCCCCGGCCCGGCTCGGGGGCGATGCCGACACAGCGGGACGGCACTGCCGGCAGCACCATGTCGGCTCCGGGCGGCCTCGGCGGCGGCCTTGGCGGAGACGGCGCCCACCAGGTCCGGGTGAAAGCCTACTACAAGGGGTGAGTGCGGCGCCGAGCCCCGCGGGAGGGGAGAGGGGTCCGGGGCGGCCCCGAAGAGGTTCGGGGTGCCCGGCCCGGTATCCCCCAGACACTCCCGGTTCCAGCCCTGGGTATCCCCCTGACTGCAGGGGAGGAGGGAGAGAAGGAACGATGAGCCCTCTACGACCGCCTAGCCGTGTTTACATGGATTTCAAGCGCAGCGCTTGTGTCCGGAGGAGCCTCCCTCCCCTCCCCTCCCCTCCCTGTGTTGGGGTTTGGGGGGAGCTGGATCCTCCCTCTTGCTGGGATGGCCTCCCCGATGAACAAGGATGTACCTGAGCAGCCTCTCTGCCCTGCTCACCCTGCTTCCCTTCACCCCCAGGCCCTGCTGGCAGCAACAACTGTATATTTCTCCATAATACACACCAGAATTCACATTTTGTGTGTTCAGGGTCCAGCTTTGGTTCTGGTTGCTCTGCATTAGGTGATGTTCAGATCTGAAAAAAAGAGGATGTTTGTATGAAAATCTGTTCCATAGGTTTTTAGGCTGTTTCCAGGGGACTGAGTGTCTTCCAAGGGAGCCTATGAGTGGTAACTAAGATTATTATTATTATTATTATTATGTAGCATCAATTATGGTTCTGCTGTTGAAGCGAAATACTAGAGGTCTGCAGAATGGAAATCTGGATTTTGTTGGCCTAATTCAATGTCTCTTCAGCAGTAACATATAAGGCAGAAGAAATGTTCTGCCTTGGGCTCAGGGCCCCCATTAACTAGTAACAGTTACAGGACTTAAAAAGTTTGAGTGCAAGGGTTGCCGGTGGTTCATTGAGCCATTAAGTCTGAGTGGAGATGATCTAAGCAGCAAAAAATGTAGGTTGCATTTTTGGATTAAGAGTGAACACATTGACACTCTTGACAGCTTCCTTGCAGTGAGTTATCTGTGTTCAGCACCAGAAGGGGTGCATTGCTTTTTCAGTATTTACTCTCTGGCCTTATAATTTTAAGGAGAGCATTTGGCATTTGCTGGTGTGTTTGGTTTCTGGCTGGTGCCTGGTTTGGGGCTTTTCTTGCCAGAAGTCCATAGAAGTTACTCTAGAGACTGGCACCGTCTGTGGCCTTAGA